GGGGGGGGGGGGGGGGGGGGGGGGGGAGATGATGAGGTGTTTCGATGGCTGCGCTCGAGAACGAAAGGTGAAGATGGTGGTTGATCTTGATTACTTGGTAAGCTCCAACAGCCAATAAGGGTTTTGAGGTGAGGTTGCAAGCATCAGCTGTTCCGCCGCAAGTGCATATGCAGTACCGTACGTGCAGATAAGTCGTGCAAAGGAGAGCGGTTTTTGCTGTGCAAGACCTCCACGCAACCGGTTGACTCATCTCGGCACAGCCACCGCACGCGGACGCGAAATCGTTCGCGCCTGTTACAGGTACGCAGCAGTCACGCAATCAAGTCACTGACTGAGTGACCAGTGACCAGGGAAGACCAGCCCCGCTGCAGTGGGCCTGTACTGATGCATGCTAGCTGCATGGATGTAGCGGGCTGCTGCTGCTGCTGCTGCGCCCGGAAGCGACGCCTTGGAGGCTTGGAAAGTTACGCGGCATTTCGGGAGACGCGCGTTCCAAGACCTCGGCGCCAAGACATGCGAGAAGCTTGGGTGGGCTTCGCATGGCATGGCATGGCATGGCATGGCATGTCCTAGCTCCGACTCTCTCATCGAGCTCCCACGAAATCATTTAATTCAACATTTACGATTCAAGATTCACGAGTCCAAGTCTTGATTGTGAGTAGTAGAGACTTGCAGGTCGACACTTTAGTCACAGAACCAAATACGAGCATGACACGGTGAGCATAGCAGCAAAGAGGCAATAGGGTGTGAGACGGTGAGTGAAGAGTGAGAGATCGCGTATAGTGGATGTTCTGGGCGTAAATTTGATCTATCACGTGACTATTTGAAGGTGATCAGTCTCCGGCCACGAATTGAACCCATGAATTATATGCAATCGTAAATCAAATCTGTGGAAGTCTACAATTGATACAAAATCAAGCATGCAGCGATCGAGACGCATCGCATGACGTCATTTTGAATGCAACACCGATGCTACTCTTGACTCACGACTCCACACGCCCGTTTTGTCGGTCTCCGCATGCTCCGACCGACCTAAGAATTCGCTGTGCAACCTCCACGAATCAAAATCGTGAAGGTCAATCAAGAATGATGAAATGAATCACAATCACGTGAATCGCGAAGGTGGCTTTGGTGCGTCGATCACCACTCAAGACTGATGATGACTCATCAATCTTGACTATTTGTGATGTTCACAACTCGAACGCTTTGCATCGTCACCGAACGGGTGCTCGTGGAGTAATCGGGGCTCAGAACCGACCATCATGAATGAAGACTCACAAGGATTCTGATGTCTGACTTGGTCACGACTCACGAGTGGCTGTTGAAAGAAGAGAATCACGAATCACAATCACAATCTTGAATAAAGCTGTGATGGTCGGCGCGCAGCCGTCAGCGATCGATGCGGCGGCCTGCAGAGGCGAGCAGGCGAAGCGAGGCGAGGCTGGCGTGGCGTGGCGTGCATGCACGGCTCACGGCTTCAGAAGATCAGATCGAGCGACTTGGACGAGGGAGGCTGCTGCTGCTGCTGCTGTCATCTATCGATCTGCAAGTGATGCTCGCGTGACGGCAGATGCAGCTCGATCATTTCACAATGTGTGAGTCATCAGTCATGAGTCGATCTTGGATCATCAGTCACGAGAGGCGAAGGTGTCGCATCTGACATCACCCGGCCTGGCCTGCCCTTAAGCAAGGACCCTGAATCATTTCTGATTGTATAACGCGTGTTCGCTGACTTGATCGCAGCGCTATACTGTAGCTGCTGCTAGCTGCAAGCTGCACGAGCTTTGAGTGACTGATCATGAGTGACTAAGCCTGCTGCTGCTGCGTGCGCTTCTCTCCACATTGCGTGTCGATCTGCTTTTTGGCACATTGAACGCGCACCACTCGCGTTGGTCGCAGGTGAGGTGGGTCATTCGATTGGACCATACTATATACAGTCCGAGTCTATGAGTGTACGTGAGCCTTGCAACTCCATGAACTTTTCTGTAGGATGAAGGGTGAATGCTCACCTGCTATGTGAGGACGCTCTTCTCTGCCCACCACGCTCACCTCATAGCTGCTGCTGAAAATCGTCGTGCCAATTCGTTCATCTGAAACGCAACTCCCACAAGCGCTCTCTCCATTTCAAAATGAGCGGCTCACGCAATGTGCTGCTGGCGGTGGTGAGTGTCGGATTCCAAGAGCCGGTGCTTGAGCCCAAAAGCGCCGCTGATGCTCGTAGAAGCGTTGACTGAATGCGCTGCTTGACCATTCGTACCCTTAGCTGCGCAACGACCTGCGTCTGCACGATCACCCCATCTTCTCGCTCTGCTCAGACCCTTCCCCAGCCAAAGCGCCTTTCAAGAAGGACATTACACATGTGCTGCCAATTTACATCTTTGATCAGGGAAGGATCGAAGTGGGAGGGCTACCTGGCTTGAAGAAAGCGGGCAAGGGCGAAGAGGCTAGGACCAGAACGGGCCAATTCTGGAGGTGTGGCGAGCATCGAACAAGGTGAGCGGCGCATGCATGCTCCTTTGCTTGCTTTTTCGTGCGCCGTCTGACTCTCACTCCACTCTGCGCTCTTGGTTAAAGGTACCTAACAAACTCCGTCTTCGATGTGCGTGACTCGCTTCGGTCGAGAAACTCGGACCTGTCGATCTGGGCTGGTCTGCCCGAAGTGGTTGTACCGCGTGTAGTGGAGGCACTGCAGAAGCGTGGCGACTCGGTAGAAGGAGTGTGGATGTCTAAAGAGGTGAGGCTGTGCTGCACAAGATTCCTCGTCTCGATTCACGTCACCGCTCAGCCGCGATCTCCATCTCTTTCGATCAAGATCAATACTGAAGAGGTGACGACGGAGAAACGATTGGGCCAAGCATTGTCAAAGCTGGGTGTTCGACTGGTGCAGCCATGGGACAGGACATTGGTCAACGTGGAAGATTTAGGCTTTCCCGTTTCGGAATTGCCGGATGTCTTCACCTCTTTTCGCAAGCGAGTGGAAGCGCCCGACATGTTCAGAGAGCCTTTGCCCGCTCCTGCAAAGCTCAAGCCCTACGCTGACGTGGACTTGGAGGATGCAACAGGGTCGTACAGCTTGACAGCCAAAGATGATCTCAAAGATCCCGAGCATGTCATCAACACACTTCTCAAACCGTTGCGAGACAACCCCGGACCTTTGAAAGCACCCACGTCGAAAGACCGACCTCAAGCTCCTGCATTTGCCCAAAATGGCGGAGAGACGGAAGCTTTGAAACGCGCTGCGTACTATCTAGGCAGAGGCAAACCAGGCGAGCACTACAAGCAGACCCGAAATGGAATGTTGGGCCCTGATTACTCTACCAAGGTGAGTGTGGAGACGGACTCTAACATTGCCCTGCCTGCGCCTGCCCGATGTACCTGACGACGACGTCTCCGCACACTGCAGTTCTCTGCTGCTCTAGCGCACGGAACGATTTCACCTCGACTCTTGGCTGACGAAGCGATCAAGATGGACAAGGAAACAGGCGCGAGCAGGGGTGGGGGTGGTTATTGGATCGTCTTTGAGCTCTTGTGAGTACTTTGATCATGTCTTAATCTCAATGTCTCGAGCTGCTGATCCCTGACTCCGGCATTGTCCCCTCAGGTGGCGAGACTACTTTCACTTCGTAGGAGCCAAATATGGCAGCAAGCTCTTCACCCTCCTCGGCATCGAGGAGGTGTTGAATCCCAAAAATGCTGGCCAAACTGCTCAGCAATGGCTGTACCCTGACAGCATGGACAATGCGAAGGATGGCTTCGTGCGTTGGACGCAGGGAAAGACTGGCGTTCCGCTTGTCGACGCAAATATGCTCGAGCTAGCTCAGACTGGGTGGGTCTCGGTACGGGCTCAGGTGTTAGGTCTGATCTGATGACTGAGGCGGCGCGCACTTTGTTTTTTGTGCCAGGTTCATGTCCAATCGTGGAAGGCAGAACGTCGCCAGCTTCTTGACGAAGGACCTCTACTATGATTGGAGACTAGGCGCCGAGTGGTTCGAGTCTGTGTTGGCCGACTACGATCCCAACTCCAACTGGGGCAACTGGCAATATGTTGCTGGTGTTGGTAACGATCCTCGAGCTGGTCGGTGAGTCATTGCACACAGGTCAGCAGGGTAGTTGTCAGTCCCAGGGCTGACAGCAATGGCTTCTACAACGTAGGAAATTCAATGTAATTAAACAATCAAAGGATTACGACGCGAATGGAGACTACGTCAAGACCTGGCTTCCGGTACTCGCTTCTTTACCTCCTGAACGCGTGCACCACCCTTGGACTGGGGGCGAGCCACCTGGAGATTATCCCCACCCAGTTGTGCAGGATGGAAGCTGGAAACCCCACCTGCAGGGGTCTGGTGGCGGAGCACGGGGTGCGAGAGGCGGTAGAGGCCGCGGGCGTGGAAGGGGAGGGTTCAGAGGTAGAGGCGGCGGCGATGGAGGCGGCCGAGGCAGGGGACATTGAAGGGCGGAACACTAAGAAAAGAGGCCGACGCTTCTCTTGCCTCTGTAGCTCATAAGATGCAAACAAACAATGGCATCATCTGTCGCAAGCAAGTGCCAACGCTCACCACCTCGAAATGGAAACCTTGCATTGACTACAGACCAGCTGATAGTGAGGCCAAATGCGAGGCGAAACCAAGAATGGAGAGTATCGTGTTTAGAGCAGGGACGCGCCTGATCCCCATGAAATGCTTCTCGTCATCAGAAGTACTGCGCCAGGCTACCACGGCGTCAGCAAGGAGCTAGCAAGACGTGAGGCTGGTGACGGCTCACAGGCCCCACTCACCGCTTCATCTGACTGATTGCTAGTACCAGAGGCGGCATTTGTTCGCGAGGAAACTGCATTCTCAAACGTTGTTGGCGCAAGTCCACGTCTCGTCTCGCTCCTGTGGTTTGCCAATGATCTTGTAAGGTGGAACCTTGCCGCCCAAGCACTGCTGGATGGTCATGAGCTTGTAGCCTTGCTTTTGCAGGCTGGGAACAACAGCTGGGGCAACCGTCTCAACGCTGGACTGGTAAGTCTCGTGAGAGAGCGGCATGTGGGCCTGGGGATACTTGAGCGCGTTGAGTGTCGCGATGGATGCGGATGGCGAAGCTCCGACGGAGTCTCCGCTGTCCACGTCCCAGGTGACGACGGTCAGACCGTGCTTCTTGTTCAAGCGCTCGACGCAATTCTTGTCGCATTCTCCGTAAGGTGGTCGAAAGTAGGCAGGAACACGGCCAATGATCTTCCACAGAGCTTCTTCCAGCCTCTCGATCTCGAGATCCTGCTGTTCGGGAGTCAAGGAATTCAGATGTGCGTGTGACCAGGTGTGGCTGCCGATCTGATGGCCTGCAGCGACGGCCTTCCTGAGGGATTGCACGTTGTTCTCGTCGTAGATGCACGACCAGTTCATGCCGTTCACAAAGGAGGTGTACTTCGCTTTCGCATTGTCGAAAAGCATTTCCACCTCGCCGTGGTAGATTGATGGCCCGTCGTCAAAGCTGTAAGCTAGATCGCGCTCGCAGTTGTTCAGCGCTCCGCTGAGTGGTGAGATGACCGAAACTTCAAAAGTCTCGTTCTTGCGCCCCGACAAATTGGACAGGACACCTTTGGCCAGAGGTGGCATGACTTGTTGCTCTTCCGGAAGGGGCGGGCGCGTTACCGATGGGACCGTCTCCAACCTTTGTGGCACGACCCAGGCACCGTGTCGAACAGTATTGACCCGATGCACTTTTGGATGTTCGGTAATCGGCATGCAAAGTGCTATGGTAGCACAGCTTACTGCGCAGAGAACGCACGTAACACGGCGTGAGATCCGCATGTTGTGTCTGTGACGTATGCTGAACGTGACTGGTCGGCAGAAAGCAGTGTGTGTACTCTGACTGGGGGTTTAAAGGGCGGGGATCCACCGATGTGAAATAAAGAGCGTGCGTGAAGAAAAGCGAAATCGGTCGACCAGCCAGCCACCTGTGCTGACCTTGTACCGTGAGGTGAAGAGGAAGGGGTAGAGGTCAGGAAGAGGGGCGGGGAGAAGCAAAGAATGGTGGTGTCTAGAGATGAGGGTGAAGAAGTGAGCATGAGTGGCCGGGTCGTCTGGAGTATGGAACTGAGCGAAGCACTCGAGTGGTGGCTTATCGGTACCACTAGTGACCCGGCGGGTGGAAGCACTTCCAACTCGGCTGTGGACCTGCTAAAGCGCTGCTGGCGCCCGAACGAAGCGAGGGTCCATCCAACGTCTGATGCCGACCAAGCCGCATTGCGTAGAGCACTCGTGCGCCCGAGCGGCGACTTGTTTGCATTGCCAAGATGTACCGAGCGATAGCTGAGCAGCAAAGAAGCCGAGCGGTCGGAATGCGTCGTGGAGATTGTCGTTGAGCAATAGAATCGTACGTGCTTCGTTGCATCTCGACTGTGAGATACCTGTACCACTGCTTTATGAAACGCGCGCCGTTGAGGCCACCTGCTCCTTCCGACCGCACAAGTCCGCCCTGGCTAGCGAAGACCCTGGGGCGTTCCCCAAAGAGCCAAGCGCGCTATACAGCCGCGGCGAGACGTCCATGTATCTAGTCATTGTTTGGGATGACCGCCGTATCGAACGACCGCTGCATCGACCCTAGCCACCCATCTTTGCTGCCGTTGGACGCTTTGCCCTGCCGGGCATTCGCGCGAAGGCGATGTAAAATCGACAGTCTCTATAGGTGCCGCACTACTTCTCAGCTCGCAGTGCTGCTAGTCAGACACGGGCCATCGATTCGCATCCTGAGAGACCTGTGATTGTGTGTGCGGCGAGCAGGCATGAAGCAGCGCACAGCCTACTGTCCGCTTCTCGCTCCACATGCATCCAGCTGCTTGCCTCGATGGCGACCTTTTCGCAGGAGAGAGTCCGCGCAAGCGCGGGCATGTTTAAACGCAACGGCTTATTGGGCCCAGCGGTATTCAGCGACTTGGCCCAATGCACGGCATGTGGAGCTTCGAAGGACTTGTATGTAGTGCGCCGCGAACATGAGGCAAATTGCGATTGGCCCTGCTCGGGCCCGATTTGTCCATTTCTGCACGAACAGTCACGAGTGACGAGCTGAAGTCACGATCGAGTTGCGACTCACAATCACAATGACGAGAAGAGTATTCGTGCATGCGCCCAAGATGGTGGGCATACCACCACTCTAGCTGCGACTTTGCAGACTCGCGACGAGCTGGGTGATGCCGACACAATTCGTGATCAATTTGCATGATTATCCGATCGCGCGGGCTCTTCGCGGGCCCTCATGCAGTTCGTGCCTTGCCTCTGATGACTTGCTGCCCGCGCGGCTGTAGCAGCGTTTTGCAGTCCCTTGCTCTCATGCCATTACCTGTTGATTAACAAAGCTCTTGCTCCTGCGCGCGTGCATACAGCTATGTAGCCTGCCTGATAATTCGAACGGCACGGGCACGCTCAACGGTCAGCTCATGCAGTAGGTATGTACCTAACTAAACAGCACCAGTTGAGGAAGTGTACCATGCCCAAACTCATGAAACCCTAATTCGATACCGGTAACACGATGAAGTGATCTTGGCTTTTGTTGGAATTCTATACGAATCCCGATTCTGATTATTGGTGGCTGGCTTGAATATGTTCCAGCTTCGGCTCATGACTACCTGCAGTCAGCTATGGGCGCTTCGACCGAGGACGACTTGCTTTCATCTGCCGCTGTGAAAGTGAGCATCAATGAGCAAGCCCATTTGGGTGGCACGCTCTTCCACGCGCAACAATCATTCGATTTCTGGACCCAACGATGCGCGCTTGTACCTGCACCCTTGTTGCCAACGGTCCGTTGCAAGCGTTGCTAACGACCACACAAAGATTCAAGCGCAAGCGAACGGTCACGCAGACGAGACCGCGCATTGGTTCGTGCATATGTGAGATGTCGTCAGGGCAACGCCGATTTGGTACTAATGCGCAGATGCCTGAATTTGTAGCAGAGTGGCTACTTCAAAAGCCAATCATTCCACAACAAAGCTTGTGAGAACGGTTCAAAGATCGGGCCGGGCCCCCTCCTGCTGTAGTGCTGGCAGTCATCACTATCTTGTGCGCTCCTGAACAACTCGATCCAAGCTTTGCGAAACCTGCTCCAGTCGCAAGCCACGAACCACGATCGACTTGCTGAGTCAGTGAGTGAATGCCTCAAGGTGGCAACCTTGAGTGTCCGTCAGCAGCGGTCGTGATAGAATAGCGGATGCGATCCTTCAAATTACAGTACCTGCTGTACCGTAATGCAGGCGCTTTCGCCCGCGCACGCTAGCGGCGCCGGCAACGATATGGGTAGAGGTTGCGGAGTCCGAAAATAGAGCTGAGTCAAGGTATCGTCGCCATGCAGATCCACACAATCCAGCTATTTCAGGCAAAGCTTGCCATGCGGCCAAGGGTGGGTGGGTGCATCGCTCGATGATGACCCGTCGTTGAAGACCTGCAGCATGGCATTCACGATCTGGTGGCCAGATCGCCGCGAGGTTGTTGAGAATCGATTTGGGAACAACCAGCGAGATGCATCTTGTGGTCTCAAGGCACGACAAGCCTCTGCATTTCGCACATGCCGATAGAGTTGAGCGTTTAGACATGATCACCCAGTGACACGGTGACGCTTTGATGATTCTTGATTCCCAACGCCTTCCCGTTTCGACGTTCTCCAGGTAGCGGCGCTGCACACTGAGACAAACGTTACAAACATTCCATCTTCTTCGCCCGCTTCGAGGTACCGGTACAATCGAGTACCGCTGACCTCTGCGCCATCTCCGATGCTCTCGACGTGCCATTCATGCAGATTCGTACCCCTGCGAGCTTGCGACATAATGCCGTCCTGGTTGACTCAACATCTCAAGAGCACACGCTCGGAGTTCATGTCGCTCCGAGACATGTTTGTGGCTTCGCATTGGCTCGCTCTTTTTGCCCTGAGTGAAGTCAAGAGCGCAGAGCAGGACAGAACGCCGGACTGGTGCTGATCGAGCTTGTCTCCTCCCTACCTCTATCTCTGCACGAGACGCTGCCTGCCTACAGTCACTTCAGTGTCTAGTGACCGCACATACTACACTCGGAAGCGCAACGAAACGTGATTGCGTCTGGAACAGAGATCAAAAAGAGTTGAGCCTCCTACGCATCACTGCTTCCATCCCTCCCACAAGTTGCTCGGACTCGCCTCTTCGTCGTCTACGGTGGGCTCCTTGATGGGAGTTGACCGGCTGCCAAGTGAACGGCATGCGAGTGCACACCCTCGCCATCATCGCATTACTGTTTTTCGTCTTATTCAGGCACGACCTCAAGCCGTCGCGACCAGATCCAGTTCCAGCGTCTGCACTTCAAGTGCTTCATTTCGAGGCCGGGGATGGTAAAGCAAGCGCGGTGGAGCTCTGGTTCTCGGAAGAGGGGCCGTCTGCTAACACCACAGACTTGTCAACAGAACCGCGAACATGGTCGCGAATCTTTCGGCGTCTTGCATTACTGCAGTCCAAAGTTGCGAGTCCATCTCAGAGAGCCAGGTCTCCTTTGTCTCTTAGGCCGATCGGCAACTTCACTCGAGCCAACACAGCGCGAAAAGAGAAAGAGGAGCAAGACAATCCCATTCGATCAAGGATCAAAAGATCGTCGAAGCGCAGTTCTGATTCGAAAAAGGAGGAGAACAAAAAGCATGGCGACAAGCGAGGCAAAGGGAGAGCAAAGACGGACAAGTCCAACGATCGCAAGGGCATGAAGCATGGCGAGGCCCGCGAAAAGGACCACAAGAAGGACTCAAAGACGCATCGATCTTCAGACAAGGCCAAATTAAGCCACAACGATCACAGCGCTTCCGCCTCTAATGGGGCGAAGCGAACGGACCTACCAAAGAAAGGTCACAAGTCTTCCAAGGGCAAGAAGTCGGATCACCACAAGCCTCATGACCAGTCTTCAAAGTCCTCAAAGACTCGCGAGACACGGTCTCATGGCGCAAAGAAGCCCAAAGCCACTCACTCTGGTGACCGCGGCACAAAGCACGTCAAGAGCAGTCATGGTAAACACAAGCCTACGAGCTCGCATCACACAGCAAGCCGAAAACATGGCAAGCCTGGCCACCATGGTCACTCCTCCCATCACGCTCCTAGACCGACCGCGAAGCCACATTCGAAGCACCATTCCTCGCATCAACACTCTTCGCACAAACACCCCACTCACCATCGATCGTCTCATCATCACACGACAGATCACCGAGAGCACCATCACCACACGGCTTCGCATCATCATCATACGTCGCATCGCACCCATCGACCTCACAAGCCTGCACATCACCACAGCTCGCACCACCACAGCTCACATCACCACAGTTCGCACCACCACACGTCACATCACCATAGCTCGCACCACCACACGTCACATCACCATAGCTCGCACCACCACGAAACTTCTTCCCATCACCATCACAAGTCAAAACACCACACCTCGAAGAAGTCTCACGCGACGGGACGACCCGCTGGAGGTTCTAGCGAACCCATCGCTATTGAATCGTCAGGGCTCCCCCAGCCTACAATAGCACCTAGCAGACCCACGAGTCGGCCTTTTTCTCCCTCCACATCTGCAAGCGCGTCAACCACCACGCCGGCCGCTGCACAACCCAGCTCCGGCTCGGCAACTTCGAGCTCTGCGGTCAGCGCCCCACCAACTTCGAGTGGAACGGGCGCTGCAGCAGGTGATCAGCCGCAAAGCTCGGACGGTGGAGCGACTTCAGGCTCCTCCTCTTCTGGTAGCTCTGAACCACAAGGCCCGGATCAAAGCGGCGACGGTGGGAGTGGTAGCTCAGCTGATTCTAGTGCAGGTGGTCCGACGTCGAGTTCCACGTCCGACGGTACTATTTCAGTCGGTCCCGGTGGAGAAGGTGACCAGTCGACACCATCCTCGCCCGCAGGCTCACCTTCAAGCAGCGGTAGCGAAGGGGCAGGAAAAGGACCTGATGGTAGCCAGGGAGGCGGCGCGGGCGATGCTGGGACATCTGGGACATCTGGGAGTTCAACTCCATCAGACGGATCGGTACCAAGCCCTGATCCGAGTGATGTACCAATCGTCATTGGTGGCAATCCTGACACCCAAGACGGGTCTCAGCCTGCAGCGGGAGAAAGCGGCAGTAGTGGTGCGTCGCTTGGCTCACCAGACGGCAGTGGTGGGGCGGGGGCCGGCACGCCAGTTGTTACTGGCGAACCTTCAGAGTCCGGATCGACGACTCAGGACGACGGCGCATCGACAGCGATGCCCCCAGCTAGCTCCGGAGCATCTGGTGAGTCTTTTAGTGGGAAGCCGATTGTAGGGTTCGAGTCTTGTTGACACATCGAGGCGTTACGCTGGAGCAGGCGCCGAAGCGGGTGGTATTCCTGTCGTTGTGGTCGATGGCATGGGCGCCACTGATGGTCCGAGCGACATCAGCACGTCTCCTGGGAGCCCCGAGTCGCCATCGGATCCAACAGCAAGCACAGACCCAAGTGATACTCCTATCACCGTTGGCGACGATGCGCCAGACGAAGATCAGCCAGATGGAGTTGACGAGGGCGATGAAGCTGGCGGGGCGTCTGACGGTCTGATCCCAGTCGTTGTTGCACCTCAATCAGCTGATCCACCAAGCGCAGAAGACCCTGCCTCTGCTGAGGACGGAGCGAATGGCGAAGCAGATGAGGATTCGGGCATGATACCCGTTGTGGTAGGGGACGATGCAGACGCCGACGATGGTGAAGGAGGCGAACCGGGCTCAGACGCAGGCATGGTCCCCGTTGTCATCGGAGACGATGCAGATGCCGACGCCGGAGATGTCGACGATGAAGAGACAGCCAACTCGAGTCCAGACGCAGGCATGGTCCCCGTTGTCATCGGAGACGATGCAGATGCCGACGCCGGAGATGTCGACGATGAAGAGACGGCCAACTCGAGTCCAGACGCAGGCATGATTCCTGTGGTCGTCGGAGGGGATACCGGCCCCGACGCTGGCAATGCGGATGGCGAAGAAGCACCCGACTCGAGCTCAGGCGTAGGCATAGCTCCGGCGACCACCGGAGCTGATGACGGTGCCGATGCCGACGGAGACGGAGACGGCGCCGGAGACGGTGCCGGAGACGACACCGATGATGGAGGACCGACCGCTTCAAGCTCAGATGCAGGCATGATTCCTGTCGTTGTCGATGATGGTCCCGACGCTGATGCCGGAGACACCGAAAATGGAGAAACATCAGACTCAGGCATAGACGCAGGCATGACTCCTGTAGTCGTCGGCGATGCCGATGCCGGTACAAGTGCTGATGCGGGTGATGCGGGTGACGCTGGTGCAGACGGGGCACCAAGCTCAGGCGCCGATTCAGGCATGATTCCTGTCGTCGTCGGTGACGCAGACGCCGCAGATGACAGCGCCGACGGGGCAGACGACTCAAGCACCGAAGATGGATCCTCCGACGCTGCAGGCTCGGGAGCTGACTCGGGCATGGTTCCAGTAGTGGTTGATGATCCCACCGCCGACGCCGACGCAGCGGACGCAGCGGACGCAGCAGACTCAGATGCAGAAGAAGGCATGGTGCCTGTAGTCGTCGACGATTCCGGTGAAGAGGACGATGGAGCCGATGAAGTTGCTGCTGGTGCGGCTGAGGAACCAGGCATGGTCCCACTTGTGGTCGGCGTGCCTTCTGACGGAACAAGTCCGGCGGCCGGAGGTACTACATCCAATCCATCGACGACGACGACGCCCCCTCAACCTGTCTTTGATGCCGCTTACGTTGCCCAGAAGATTCGACAAGCAGCATTCACCGCTGCGACTGACGCCATAGACCAGCTGAATGCAGAAGCCGCGGAGGACTATGCACAAGCGCTGGCAGACGCTACTGCCGACTTGGATGCCGATGGAGATGGTGCCGTCGACCCGACAGCGCCGCCACCCGCCTTGCCGGACCCAAGCGACGCAATGATGGTCACCGCTGCCGACGCAAACACTCTTGCGAATGCTGTCGCCTCCACTAGCGCGCGCCTCGTCCAGATGGCTATTTTTGGTGAGTCTGTGCCTGACTTAGTATGTCAGCCCGCAAAACGCCGCCGAAGCTGACTCAGCATTCGGACATTGCCGTTGATCTTTAGGGGGTGTCCCAGTCGGACAGCCAGGAGAAGTTGACCCAGGTGCGTCGCCGTCGGGCTCCGATTCGTCAAACACAGTGCCTACCGTTGGTCAGCCTGGCGGCGGCGCTGGGGTCGCAGGAGGCACTGGCAGTGCGCCTGCCAATCCTGGGTCTCCGATTGGCTCTCCAGGACCTGCCCTGGGAGCTGGTCAGGGCTCAATAGGATCAGGAACGAGCGCTTCAGGAGCCGACCTAGGGTCACCATTTCCTGGCTCGACCAACGGTCCAGGCGTAGGCGGCAGCAATCCGGCGTCTCCCGGAAGTGGAAGCACGTCTGGAACGTCTAGCCCTCTGCCAGGATCCGGCGCACCCCAAGCCGGGGGAAATGCACAAAGCCCGACTGGCAGCAGCGGTATGTCGAGTGGTGGCAATGCTGGTACAGGATCAGGTTCAGGCGCAGCCGGTCCTCCTCCGAATGCAGGCGCTGGTGGTCCTTCTGGTGGAGCAGGCGGCCAAGCTGGCGCAGGTTCAGCCACTGCGCCGGGCGATTCTAGTGGTGGCAATGCCGGTACAGGATCAGGTCCAGGCGCAGCTGGTCCTCCTCCGAATGCAGGCGCTGGTGGTCCTTTTGGTGGAGCAGGCGGCCAAGCTGGCGCAGGTTCAGCCACTGCGCCGGACGATTCTAGCATCGGTGGAGGGGCTGCTGCAAGCGGTGCTGTGGCCTCCTCACCAATCACCGCAGGCGCACCTCCAAGCGCGGGCTCCGATGCGGGGTCCGTTCCTGAAGGTGTTGGCGCTGCCGAAGGAGACGAGGATGAGGGCGATGCTGACGACGGTCTTCCGCCCGGTATGGTGGCTGGTGGCGGAGATGAGCCTGGGCTTGGAGCAGCAGGCGGAGGTGTTGGCTCGAGCGGGGACGGTGCAGACACCAGTGATCCGGTGGGGGGTGCCATTGCCCCCGGCGATCCTGATGCCGGTGCTGATGCAGCTGACGGAGGTGCAGGAGCTGACGCTGAGGCTGAGGCTGAGGCTGATGGCGACCTTGCTGGTACTAACAGCGAAGGTCCGGGCGCCAGCGATCCGAGCGATGGTGCCAATCCCCCTGGTGGTGCCGATGCTGGTGCCGATGCTGGTGCCGATGCTGGTGCCGATGCTGGTGCCGATGCTGGGGCCGATGCTGGTGCTGGCGACGGCAATGTAGGAGGTGATGTTGACGCAGGACCCAATTCTGCTGGCCCTGATGCCGGTGAAGATGCTGGGCTCGATGGAGCGGACAGTGCTGGGGCGGAAAATGGGCTCGATGCCGACGGAGAAGGTGACGGAGTCATTGGATCTATTGACCCAGATGCCAGCGACGACGCAGAGGGAGGCGGCTATGCGGACCCTAATGCCGAAGGCGAAGGGGACGCTGAAGATGCTTCTGCAGCTGGCGCGGATCCAAACGGTCCGGACGCAAGCGAGCCTCTAGAGCCGGATGATGGCGAAGATCCAGACGCTGACGCTGACGCGCTCGACGATCCGAATTCGACAGCTGATGGAGCGGACGTGGACGGAGACGCGCCAGACGGCGAAGCTGAAGATGCTGGTGCCGATGAACCCATTGCTTTGTCCGACTTGGACGAGGCTGACATCGATGACCTGGCCAGCTCGATCGGAGAGGCTGCGGCAGAGACTGTGGAGGACATGGTGCTCGCAGGAGATCCCGATGCTATGGACGAAGATATATCCGCTCTAGCAGACGCCATCTCTGAGGCGGTCGAGGCATCTGTCAGCGATGCCTTGAACGAACTCGTTGACGCGCTAGCCGAAGCCGAAGCTGAAGCACCGGATGCAGATGATCCACCGGAGGACGACGAGCCGATCGAAGTTGCGCCGCCCGACGACGAAGGTGATGACGCCGCCGCAGACGGGGAGGACGAAGCTGAAGACGACGACGGAGCGGATGGTGGGGATTCAGACGATGAAGGCGATGACGACGAGTAAGGTGGGATGGGTATTTCCCGGATTCAAGCGACTCCTGGGCGCAAAAGGTAAACCGCCCCAACCATCTCTGCTCGAGGAACAACACACGCGCGGCCTGAGCCCTGAGCTTGTAGGGCAGAGGGTATCTCTTCAGCCCCGCCTGAGGATCCCGAGGCCTTGGCTACCATGCTCGGCTTACGCTCAAGAGATCTTCGCCTTTGTCATCAACACTCATGGATCGAAATTAGAGCTTGCCTTGCACAACCAATGCGTGCTACCTCGCGCAAACTTTATACATACTTATCTTTCCTTAATCACCCGATTCTACCACTAATGGGACAATGTTACTTTGCTAGGGTTTAATCTGTTAGTCACATTGCACATACATCTGCCGTCTGCACATCTAGAGACAAGACAATACACGCTCATTCTCGTTAACGCGGTTGTCGAATGGAATGCCTGGCTTCTCTGCGAGGACTGTCTTGATCGCCTCCTGGCTTGTGCTTTCGGATTGCGTGAAGCAACGGAGCTGATTCAGTGATTCGACGATGCGTGTATCGCGCCGGGTCACTTTGCCTCACCTTTCGCTTCTTTGGCTTTCTTGCGCCCGGCTCGTCGGCTTCTAGGAGACGCACATTGATCTGCAGGCCAGGCCAGCAGACGTGCGCGGGCACTCGGTTGGCATGCTCCCAAAGTAGCGCCAACGGCTCGCCAGAAGCACTCACCTTCTCGGCAGGACCAGCATCTACCGCAAAACTCGTCCTCAGAGTTTCTTCGTCGAAGGGGACAATTCGCTGGAGCGTCGTTTCCGGCCTGAAAACAATGTCCCTCATGGTGGGCGGGGCGGGAGGCTGCTTGGCCTGATACTTTGTTGGTCTCACGCGACCTGATACGAAATCGAATGGCAACACATGAGCACATCAACCCACGCTGTGTTGCTAATCGTCACGCACCTGGCAGATCCTCGACGTACTGCTCATAAGTAAATGGCAGCTTTTGATACTTGCTTGGATCATCATCGGGCCCTGTGCGTCTGTATGGCTTGACCGCCTTCAAATACAGTGGAAGCAGGCCAAACTTGGGAATCAGATTGGAAGCGCCATTGAGCATCTGAGACGGCAAAGCCGAAGGTGGCGGGACGTAGGCCGGGTAGTACAGGGGCGCTGGCGCTTCGCTGTGTATCGTGCTGGAGGACGCCATGAGGTCTGGATTGTCGCTACCGTGATCGCCTCCATGGGGCGGTTCGCCTGCCATGGTAGCCGCTCACAGTGGGGTGGCGATTCAGGTCGATTCTGAGTAGAGTGGGAGTGACAACACCCTGCTGTCTGTGCAATCGCGGTCAGCGCATGGCTGGCTCCAATTCCAAGCCGCTTAGCTGGCTGTTGCGAGGAGTTGAAGTGTAAACTCTGGCAGAGAGGATCTGCTCACGAGAGCAGAGGAGCGGGGGCGCCCAAGTCCTCGAGTGGTAGTCTGCAAAGAGAAGTCAGGGGGTTAAGGGTCTTCTGTTGCAGATGAGTCAAGGGAATGAGGGTGTCTTCTGTGGTCCCGATGGTGAGTGTGCTGGTAAGCTTGATAGCCATCATCAGCATGTTGATGTACAACAGTGTGAGTATACATGCGCGCCAGCTCCGCATCCTTCGAGGTCGGCTTTGACCATCCATCACTTCGCTCACGTGACACACCACATCAGTCACGTGAACAGGCCTAGTGATGCGGTTTTTGGTTCAAATCACGATTTCACGATTACATTCTTGATTCTGATTCGAAAGATTCCCGATTTCTTGGTGCTGCATGCATCCTGCTGATACCCTGCCGCAACATCAACCTCGGTCACGTCCCAAGACGTCGCGGATCAGCTCGCAAAATGGCTAAGCTGCTCGCAAGCGCTGCCGATTTCAGCACCATGAGCTGCTTCACAACCGCAGCCACCACCACATCAGTCCAGCCCAGCAAGATCTCCACGACACATCGAGGAGTCGCAGGGGGGCATTCCATCCATTATAAGACACAGGATGGCAAATTTACAAGACGACATTGCAGGGTCGGTGGTACCGGCTCGGGCTCGGACGAGCGAGATCTCCAAAGCGTCCCCATACGCAAATGACCAGGGGACGGTCAAGGTGATGCAAGAGCCTCTCTCCCAAGAAGCATCTGATGTTGGCAGGGACGCTTCAAGCAAGCAAGAGCTCAAGAGGACCTTGAGCGCGAGGCACCTGGTGCTGATCTCGCTTGGCGGAGTTGTGAGTGGACAAAATGAGGAATGGAGGAGAAGCTGGTAGGCAAGCGGGCTGGGTGTCTGTAGAAGGGGGAGAGGGGGAAGGGGCGAAGAGAGAAGAGTAGTGCAGTAGACGGAGATACGATGCTGACTCTGCTGAGCTGTGACCTGCCTCTACAGATCGGCCCGGGCCTCCTCGTGGGATCAGGAACCGCTTTGTCAGAGGCTGGGCCAGTCGGCGCCATCCTGGCTTACCTGGTGGTGGGGAGCGTGACATGGGCGACGATGATGTCTGTCGGCGAGCTGGCCACAGCGCTTCCAGCTTCTCAATCTCATCTTGTCGACTTTGCCAGTCGATTTTTGGATCCGGCTGCCGGCTTCGTTCTTGGCTTTCTGTACTGGACTCTTTGGTGCTTGGTCTTGGTACGTCTTGTTCGCTCGCTGCTGCTTGTCGACATAGCTTCATTGTCCGAGCACTGACCAGCTCTGCCTCACAGGCAAACGAACTTGTGGCAGTCGGAATTCTGTTCGCCTTCTGGGAGGGCGCGAGGGTAGTGCCTCAAGGCGCATGGATAGCCATCTTCCTGGTGTTTGTGAGCAATCCATGCGGCTGCATGCCGGAGACCAACGGTACTTGGTCCATCTGACTCCCTTGATCATCCTTGAAGTTCCTTTGCATATCCCTCCTTGGAGTGGCGACGTGGGGCGAGCTCGAATTCTGGCTCGCCAGTATCAAAAGTGGGTAGACCGACGGAGAGCGCACTCTCACCAAGATGCGCCATATCCCTCGACAGGTCGCTTACCTTGGTACGCATCTCGCAGTCCTCTTTCTGATAGTCTTTTTCATCATCTCGATCGTCATCAACACCGGCGGTACTGGTCAGGGCTATATCGGCTTCCGCTACTTTCGCAACCCAGGGTCATTCACCGACTTTCCTGGGTTCGTAAGCGTCTTGACTCTCGTCGCTACCCAGTTCGCTGGCACGGAGATCACGGCCACCTGTGCTGCTGAAGCGCGCAGGCCCGAGCGTGCTGTACCTCGAGCAGTGACGAGCGTTATGTGGCGCATTCTCGTGTTCTACGTTGGCACTGCCTTCTTCATCGGACTCAATGTGCCCAGCAACGACGACCGGCTAGCGAACGCTTCGAGCAAGGCTGCAGCATCACCGCTCACTATTGCGATGCAGAGAGGTGGGATCGAGGCAGCAGCTTCGGCCATCAACGCCATCATCATTGTTTCCATCGTCAGCGCGGGCAACTCGTCGCTGTACGTTGCGTCCCGCACCCTAGCTGCTATGGCCAGAGAGAGGCTACTGCCAGCTTTCCTGGGCTGGACGACGAAGAAGACGCAGGTCCCGGTACCTGCTCTGCTTGTCAGTGCTGCACTGTCCCTCATCAGTTTGCTCAGCGTGAGCTCAGGGTCCAGCACAACCTTCACAAGGATCTATTCGATTTCGGGCATCTCCATCTTGCTCGTCTGGGCTTTAATCGCTGCTTCGCACATTCGTATGCGCAGTGCGATGAAAGCTCAGGGGCGCAACGTCTCAGAATTGCGCTTCAAAGCACCCCTTTGGCCGGTTGGAGCGTGGTACGCGCTCATCATGAACAGCTTCCTGGCGTTGATTCAAGGCTATGGCGCTTTTGCACCGAGTTTCGACATCATCAATTTTGTCGTGTTTTACATCATGCTACCTGTCAGCATCGTCCTTTACACTGGCTTCAAGATCGTCTTCCAGACAAGGATCCCCAGAACCTCGGAAATTGACCTGGACACCGGCTCGCAACTGACGCACAATTTGGATGGCGACTCGGAGGATCACGCAACGGGTCTCGTCAGACAAGCTGACGACTCCGATTCCGAGTCCCGCCCACCAGTAGACGCGAGGACCGATGGAAAGTCGCGTTCAAACATCTCACTACCACGGGATAGCGATCGCGCATCCTCGCCACTCAGACGATTTGTTAGGAGCATCAGTAAAGTATTGGCTTGAGCTGTACGTCGAAACTTTTCAATACATTCCTGTGCCCCAACGTTCGCTCTGCTGCGAATGCTGTTCGCGCGACCTTCCAACAGGGTCCCGCCGATTATGACGATAAGGCTTGCCTCACACTCAAGAGGGCTCGCTCGGGCAATGGTCCTCTCGCTCGGCTCGCTCAGGTTTCGTCCATTGAGCCGACGCACTGATACTGGGGACGCGGCGGACCATGAACGGAAGTCGTTTCGGCTCAGAGTCGGAATTGTGATCGCCGAGAGCAACTCGTTCGCGCGCGAGGAGGTCCAGCTCCGCGTGACGGGCGGGATGCATGACAAGAGCCCGTCGAGGTTGGTGCATAGCTGCGATCATGAGTACTTCCGGACATGCTGAAGCTCGAGGCCACCTTGCGGGCCTGGCCCTTTCCCGTCTCGATGGTGCAATGCCCGAACTGCCCTCAAGCGTTAGACTGGATAGTCGTGAGTCTTTGCCATGTCAGGGTGGAGATCATCGGCGGCGGGCTCCACTTTTACCAATCGTAAGGTTGTCAGACCTAGCCAGGCTTTCAAGACTTAACGCCGTGGCCAGCAGCTTGCAGTTGCGCGAGTCCTGAGTCAAAGCGCGATCGCGAACGCATCAAAGCTCGCGCTTCCTGCTGCTTCTCGATTCAAGCAAAGTTCAACCCATGCAAGAAAATCACGAATGCCGCCGCACTACGTAGAGAAGGACGCCCTGCGCTGTTCACAATCTAATGGCGTTTGTTGATTAGGCAAAAGTCTTCTCGAAATTTGCTTCCGCATGAATCGTTGCGCGTAGGAGCGCCCGTACGCACATGCGCGGAGGCTCCTTACTCTGACTGTTGACGTGATTCGAATGCGCTTCGCCTCGGGGACACGAAGACTTCAACGTCGGCCCAAGCGTCGGATTTGAACACATTTTGCTTCGCCAAGTAAATCGCTTCGAGGGCTGATGAGACCGCGATGACATGTCGGTGAGTCGTTTGATTCAACTTTCGACACAAACTTATCGATACTCGACGTCGATGCCATGTCGCTCATCGGGTAGGCGCAAGGACTGGCTGACCCCCTGTGCTCGGTCGCGATGGAGAAAGAGCCCCTGACTGGGTTTGCTCAGCTCCTGACAACAAAGGGTGAAAGGAAGACTCTGGAATGTCGCGCTCCAGCACGTTCCTCTCCGATCGATCCGTCACTTTGACTTGATCTTGTCATGGATCGCCGGCTGATGAGCAGATTCATAGCCTTTGACTCATACAGTAATGCGTGTACTCACTCCATTCAAGATTTGACTCATACAGTAATGCGTGTACTCACTCCATTCAAGATTACTAATAATCATGGCTTCATCATGCCAGGGGTCAAGAACATCACGGCGAAGCCTGGCTGAATGCTCGCTTCTTCTGCTGGTTTGAAATTGCTGGCGAGAGTCACGCATCGAATCTTGAATGTCCACGCAGCACGTGCGTGCTTGGCGATGACTCGTCAAAGGCTCCAAACCCATCAAAATCTTGACGGAAGCGGATGCAGGCTACCAGCAGGCTCGTGACTCGCGATTCAAGATGGCTACAATTTTAGAGTCACGAGTGTGTATCCTCGACGCTCTTCTGTGGCCTGCTGAAGCATACGACACGTCTGTTCGTATGTGCGTGGCTGGAATGCACCGATGGCCCTTTGTCGGCAGCTAATTGGATGGAGAGGCGTGCACTCGTGACTCAAATTGCTACAGATGTATGCTACGGCGATCACGGCGACTTTACGACATCCACCAGCATCGGCGAGCCGGCCTGATATATAGAGGCTACAGTACGTCCCTTCCTCATGCGCCGCCAAGCCAGGCGCCACTCCTGTACGATGATGTACTCTCGCTGTGACTCACGACTGCGACTGTGCGCCAGATGCAAGATGTAGGATAAGGAGGGTAGGAAGAAAGGTGATGGATTGCCTTCGTGCACGACGTGGGTACGTATCAAAGAGGAGGTTGGCATGCAGTCTAGGATATTATGCAGTAGTCGTAGTAGTAGTGGTGCGGGAGCACTCCGGACTTGATGGCCGTTTCATTCTACACGGCCGTAGCACGAGTACAAACAAGCTTTCTGCCGGCGCCGCGCGCGCTACCTATATACTTGCTGTTGCCGCGCGTCATATACTCAAACTTGCATGTAGGTATTCACGATTGGACGATAATTGACTTGTGTTGCGTGTTGGTTTCAACGATGCGTCAATCGTGAATCTGATGTGTCGCATTCCTAAGGCTACGCGTCGCGTCGCGTCGCGTCGCGTTTCCTTCCATAGACTGCTGTGGTGCTACTGTAGGACGTGCGGCGAATTTAGCCGTACCGCCTGCACTTTGCCAGTGTACCCGATGTAAGCAGGCAGGTCTTTGCATGGCACTTGACCAGTCACAAGTCGTGAGTGCAAGCCGACGCGCTCGCAGTTCCCACGGCCGAACCTTGCGATCCTTTGCAAACGCGCGATGCATGGCGGATCGATCTGGTTCCATAGAGCGCGATCGCTCTTCTCAGCATGCTGGCTCTCATGAAATCGTGAGCTTTGCTTGGAACGCACATCTCGAGAACACTTGGACATCTCGAGGGAGTTTCAGGAGTCGCCGAGCACGTGGCGTTGTTGAAAATGCTTCCGGGCGACCAGCGAGCTCGTCACCCTCTCAATCCTCCTCGCTGCTCGTGCATAATTCCGCTCCAATCATGAATGCGGGTACATGCCAGGGGTAGGCGCGACCGGTGGTTCCCTCAAGCTCAACCGTTCACTTCGATCCTCGTGGACAGGTTTCAGGGATCATTGACTCTACACTCATCGACTCTTCTTCTTGACGACTATTTATCTTTAGGAGCATCGCGCGATACGAGTGTCATCAACATGGCGTTCCGGTTTACGAACCGATGACCAGCAATGTGCAAAGAATTGTCTGTGGAGCCGAGCATCATGCTACGTGGCTGGCATCTCGCGGCGAGATCAATGGCGCGTCTTGCCTGAATCAAAGAATCGTTTGTTGATCGCTGATTTGTGGAACTTGAAGACGTTTGCTGACAAGGCGCACGGTGAGCCCACCATGGGACGTGCTTGCTCGATCTCAGGCGTAGTTGTTTGCGAATGCAAGAACGGCAACAAGCGGTTACCACTGTTGTGCTGGGCAGCGCAACACACTTTCGCTTCTGGTCACGAAAGAGTGCGACTGATCGTGCGCCAACGCTAATGGCGATTGCAAGCACAAATTTGGAGCAGAAGGTGAGCGTAGAGGAGACAACAAGAGGTCCCAACGCTCCTCGATCCTGGCGACCTCGCATGGGGCCGCTGAGGTCGGAGCGCAAGTCGCGCTGCCATATCGAGGGCGGCAACACATGACACTTGAAACACGCAACCCCACTCGGCCTCGAGCCAACCTCGTGTTGGGCCCGATCCCGAAGCATGAGAAAGTGCGCGCGAACCGTGCGGGATCTTGATCTCACTCGAGCCAGTCCAGCGGCCGAGTGCAAGCGCAAGGTCATGGACCTACTCGCCCGTGCATTTGCAGGCTCGCTATGCCTCGACTGCAGGTCAGAGTCACGAGTACAATACAGCAAGCGAAGCGCTCGGGAGCCTCGGTTTGTATGTGGATCCGTGATTGCGAATTGCAATCGCAATCGCGGAAGGCCGGCCTGCGGGCGTCATCACCATATGGGGCGGGCTCATCTGAAAACTGCAGACACATAGCTTGACTGGGCATGAGCCCCTTTGCCTCCCTTTCCTGCACACTGCTGTAGCATGACCGCCTAGACCGACATGCATGGCGGTTCGCACGCCTCGCAGTGCGCCACACCGACGCTTGAATGCCCGACGGCTCACGGGTACTACTGTACTGTATGCAGCCCCGTGCTGCTTGTTGCACATGCTCACGAGCTAGGGCTCAATCAGAAGCACCGCCCTGTTGTGGTGCGGTTGTGCGTCTTGTGGCGATGGACCAACAGAGAGGTGCGGAGCGCGTCCCGCCTACAATCTCAATGGGGTCTCTTCGACCCGCTAGCTGAAGGCTGATCGCCATGTTTGATTCCGAGCCACAGAGGGTCCGTTCCCACCGGAGTCTCGCGACTCTAGCAAACTCCGCTGAAGTAAGCCATGACGAGCCTTGCTTGCCGGTTGGGTTGCCCCCTCGTATGCACCAATCGCGACCGTTTGAGCGTTGTTCGATCTGGCCGTCGAGCTCACGAGAACATGGCGGGGTCTGATCGCGTCCCCTTTGCAATCTGTGGCTCGCATGCTCATTGACAGTCAACGGACAGTGTCGCGTCTCCCATGGAATCTCGAGGGCAAATGCGCGGATGCTGGTCGCATGATTGCACGCTGACGCTGTAATGTGCCCGCCCCCTTGCCATCACATCACGTTGCGGTGCGCCTGGTGGTCCAGAAGGACGGTCCGGGTATAGCAATCACGAATGCGAACCCAGTACGCACGACTGTATGGAGAAAAGGTAGGAGACCCTGCGCCGGCTGACGATGCTACATGTTGTAGGCATTGAACTTCAGTTTGGGCGAGACGAGCGAGGTGCCAGGCGACGGAGTATCTGGACGGTATGATTGGTAGCGACGAGCAAGTGTCATATAGCAAGCAAACATGGGTCGCTGCAGCCCGACCGAGCAGCAGCGCAGGCACGATCGCAGCAGAATGCCGCACCTTGCATACATCGATCCCGACTCCGCTTGAATGTCGCCAGGGCGACGCAACTCATCCATGCAGCAGCAGCAGATGCAGCAATGCGGGCAATCCGCCTGAGAGCCCAGACAGACCAATGACCTGCGCGATGTACCTCAAACTGATCACTCCAACAGACACAGAAGAGACGGTTTCAAACCCAGACAAGACGCGCCCAACGCTTGGGACTCGTACAAAAAGCCATGACGATCCTGCCTACCACACACACCCACAAAAGCCCATCCTTTCATGGCGCCATACACTCGTGATTCGAGCCCCTACTGAACTTCGCTCTCGAACACGAATGTCGAACATTCGCTTTGGACGCTTCATCCAGCATACCACCACCACCTCCTCCTCCTCCTTCTCACTGGCTTTCCCCGCGTGCGGTAGCTCTGCTCTTCACTGACGGAGCTCGTAAGCGTACTCATCCAACACTCACATCATTCACGATTGCAACGCCATCTGCGCACCTACAATCGCCTGTACCTGGTCGGGCATCAATTCTTCACCAATAGCCGCGCTTGTGAGTATGAGCGACACACTTTTCTCGATGACTTGCATTCAGATTGCGCTCCTGGGACGCTTCGCTATGCAACCATCCTGAGTGACAAGCACGGATGGCGAATCAAGGGCACCTGGGCGATGCATGCATCATGGCGTCAAAGAGGCCATGCAGTCAGAGTGCACTCAGTCTCAGCTACAGGGACTGCGACACACCGTGTCGGTGGTGTCAGTTGTGATTCTGTCGCATATGAGGCCGATGAGCGAAAGCGATAGATCGACGCGCGCACACCTGAGACACATGTGCGGATCGGAGTACAGCACTTTCACGTACCTATGCGCAGATGATGTATACATGGACGCTGACGTTGCAATTAACCTTCCCTGCACTCGTGCCCACTTATAGGCCCACGCTTCCAAGTCGCTGGTACTCCACAACCGACAAGAAGGGAACAGAGGCCAGTGTTGCATGACATCCCCCCTCTACCCCCCTCTGTAGGCAACGAGCGGTTCAAAGGGCAGAGTCTACACCAGTCGTGCTTACGGATCAGCATCCAGCTCCAAGACAACTCGATCCTAGACGCGCCCTCCCGCTTGTGACGAGTGTGGCATCTGACTGGATTGATTATGGACATCAGTTTCAGGCCACCCGAGCGCTTCGACGAAACTTCAAGCAGACACAAATCCATCAGCTCAGCTTCGTCCACATCGACCGCTTCCATCATGTCCGTCGATAGCCGCCAAGTCGACGATGACGTCGACATGAGCATTCCAGAGCTTTCGCGCTCTTACGAATCGACGCGCAGCTTCGACCTGCGCACACCCATCAAACCCACCTATGCACCACTCGGTTCCCTCGCGAAGATGTCCAATGCCACGACGCGCCGTCAAGAGGGCTTCGAGGTCGCTGCAGGTACATTCTCGAGCCAAGATTTGGAAATCGCTGAAGAGCATCTCAACGGTGGAGCCTACTCGAAGAGCGCTCAGGCAAGTGGTCCACGCCGGACGTCAGAAGACTCGCAAGCCGTCCTCGCCGACAGGCGCTCGCAGCTTGGGCTGAGCCTTGGCTTGGAGCTTCGTGGCTTGCCCCCGCTTGAAGGCGCGAAAGCCGAGCTCGTCGGCAGCCGCGAACCTCTCTGGAGCGAAAGTTTGCTGGAGCGACGCAACAACAAGTCAAGCGCAAAATCTGACGGACCGCACGTGGGTGCACACAAGTTGAAGATCAACTTGCCGTCTGCGGAGCCTTACGGATCCAACAGACTGCCCCTTGCTTCCGGCAACTCTCTCTACCCCCAGACACCTGGTGGATCTCTGTGCTCCACTGCTCGCGATGGAGCGGTCTCTGGTGGGCCTCCTATCAGCCCGTTCGAACCACCCACTCCCCTACGAGCCGTGCAGGATGCGCGCACCAGTTACTGGTCCCCAGCAACTAACGGTGCCGGGTCTGCCGCGGATGGTGGAAGCCAGACTGCTGCGTTCCTCCGTTCACCCAGCACCCCCACAGCAAACATTGGCCGCATCGGTCTCCAAAGAGTGGGATCCAGTCCTCTGTCGCCCTTGTCTACGGAGTTTGCAACCTCCATGAGCATCAAACGACCCGAGCGGCGACCTTTTTCCCGCAGCGGAGGTAGCGGCGGCGCGAGCAGTACCAATAGCAGCGAAGCAGCTTCAATGTCCGGCTCATCAACAAGCACCGCTTTGACGCCCCCTTTCTCGCCGATCGCCCTGGCGCGAAGCTTGCCGGGAGAGTCTGCAGACGAATTGAGCAAGATGCAGCGCACTGGCACTTCTGGATCAGCGAGCTCCACCAGCTCGTCGAAAAAGCGCCAGAGTGATGCTGGCCACACTGTGGTTCGCTCTTTGAGCGCGACTAGAAGCAAATTCTCCAAGCCGGCCAAGGTCGCACCGTACCCTCAACGCGAAGACCTCAACCTGCCACCGTCGCCTCTGTCTCAGCCTTCGTCTCAGAGCACAGCTGACACATCGCTTGGGGACAGCCCCTTGATGCTCCCAACTTCATTGAGTGTCAGCCAGAGCCTCAAGTCTCCCGTCAGCGGGCTCAAAATCCCATCCTCGAGCCCAATGACAAAGTCGGCGTCGGCCCCAAGCCCCAAGCTTACCGTCTCTGCCCGGCACTTGTCGAACCATCATCTGCATGCCGACTTTGCTCGTCAATATGTACTGGGTGACGAGCTAGGTAGTGGTGGGTTCGGCTTCGTCGTCCGTGCCACCCGTGTCTGCGATGGGTTTCCTGTCGCCGTCAAGTTCATCTTCAAGGACAAGGTGCCCAACCACGGTTGGGTGCGCGACCCCAGTCTTGGCGTGATTCCCATGGAAGCGTTTGTTCTGAAGGTCGTCAAACACCCCGGTGTAGTCAGATTTGTCGACCTCTTCGACGATGATGCCTACTTTTATCTGATCATGGAGCACCACGGAACACCCTGGCAAGCTCCGGAACCGACATCCGCCAAGACACCGAAGAACGCCAACGAAAGCACTCCTCAAGAGAAGACTCCTAAAGGAATGCCTACTTCCTCGCCCATGAAGACATCCAAGTCTCAACCGTCAGCGGTAAAAGGGTCTCCCAGCTTTGCCATCTTCCCTCCCGAAAGCAAGATTGCTTCGCCGCTCAAGTTGGACACTGCACTGTCGGCGGAGACTGAACTCACGTCCTCGCCGATCTCACCCGCATCCGCAATCTCGCCCACAAGGGCCGAGAGCTTACACCCTGCGCCCATGGAACGCCGCTCATCCTGCGATCTCTTCGAGTGCATCGAGCAACACTCGCGTTTGTCCGAAAACAAAGCTCGATGGGTCTTTGCCCAGATCGTCGAGGCTGTCTACCACCTCGACACCATGGGCATTACTCACCGAGACATCAAGGACGAGAATTGCGTCATCGATGCTGACTTCAATGTCAAGCTCATCGACTTTGGCTCTGCCGTCATTGCCGATCCGCGCAAACCACCTCCATACTTCAATCGCTTCTTCGGGACGATGACCTTTGCGAGCAGCGAGATTCTGCAAGGACAGTCGTACCGTGCTCCTCAGGCCGAAGTCTGGAGTCTTGGCGTCCTCCTCAGCATTCTTCTGAGTGGAGAGGGTCCGTTCGCAGATCAAGATGCCGCTATGCGCGGTAAAATTACCCGTCCTAAAGGTGCATGGAGCCACGACGCCCTGAACCTCCTTCTAGGCTGCCTGGAAGTCAACCCTGATCGTCGCGCCACGATTGCGCAGGTGCGCGACCACCCGTGGGTCCGCTCCGCCTGGTCGCTCCGAGGACTTCGTCGCCCCTCATCGTAAGAATCAGCTCCGATCGTTTTCAGTCGCCCACGCATCACGCCTCGTCGTTTTCTCGCGTCACCCTCAAGCTACGTCTATCATCTTCGGGCAAAGCAAGACTCAGTAGCGGCCTTTGCGCTCATCATCGAAATTTTTCCACGACTCAAATGCCACATCTCTCTGTATAGCTCCATTCACGAACACTAATCGTCAATTTGACTCGCGTCTAGCCTCCTCTATCCACTCCCGACCTTTGACAGTCCATACTGAGCGCAACGCAACGCATTCAGCACACTACCCGGCGATGGAACCCCCGCATTCCTGGACTGTCGAATACTCATCTTTGTAGCCTTGTAGCTGAATCGCACCCTTCTGTCGCACAAGGCCAAGTCTCTCAAAGCGACGACGTCGCGTATCAGGGAGCGCAATCGAATCGCATGCATATTAATCAGGTCATTGTGTTGATCAGGTCACTGTGGTGATCCGGCTTGATGTGTAGAGGGAAGTTGTCTTGTTCGCTTGCGACGACTTCACGGCGTAAAGGGATGCGAATGGAGCCTTGCTGCTTCTACCCCCCGAAGCCGGACAGAGGAGACTGGCAGGTAAGTAGAAGCAGTCTTCACATGCGGTCAGAGTATTGTGCGGCGACGACGTATTGTGTCAGACCTTGCAAGCTGGAACTCAGGCATCGTTTGCTAGCGCCATCACGACCCAAGTCGTGCCAGTACGCATTGCATCATCTCTCGGTGACGTCACTTAGCTCTACATGTCTGCGCTCAAGCAGCATTCTGTCTGTGATAATGATCCCAAGCAGCGCGCTCGATCTCAGCCCGCGGTGCTTGTCTGCCAGTCCAGCGTAAAAATTGATGGCAGCCTTGCTCCAAGACGATTGTGATGCCAGGTATGCCGGTCCACAATTTTCCTTGTCTGAGATTGTGTCGATCGGGCTCAGATATGGCGGCAGCATTCGTCTTGTCTACCAACTCCAACAATGGCGTGTAGACGGGCTTGTCTGTGGGCAGATGGGGCAGGGCAATGTCGCATTCAGTGTCAACAGCTCCGTCATTGGATAAATATGCAGGTAAGACTTACAAGCCATGTCGACGACGACACCTCCTTTCGGATTAGCAAGAATGGCAGGGGTGAGCACGACGCCCGCTCCGCTGGCCGGGTCGAGGCTGACGCCCTGGGCTGGCACATTGCAGACGATAGCGCTGGGCGCGATCGGCACAAGGTTCAAGTCCGGAATCACATTGACGTTCCAGCTCTTGGGCACTTCAGCGGCCAGCTTTTCCGCGTTGGCGGTCGTTCGATTGAAAAGCCAAATGATCCTAGCCCCTAGCTGGTGCATAGCAAATAAAGCGGCCCGCGCCGATCCTCCCGCACCGATGACGAGCGCAGTGAAGTCGGGGCTTGAAAGCTGAAGAGGCGATAGGTTGCGCCTGGAGCACTCAGTAATTGCAATCCAGTCTGTGTTGTCTCCGACCAGGTGCGCCGGCTCCCCTGGCGCAGCGTTGTGCGGCCGCTGTGGAATGATCGTGTTGATTGCGCCGATGACCTGCGCTTCGGCCGAGACGCTGTCTAGATGCTTCGCAATGGCCAACTTGAAAGGCATCGTGACGCTCGCACCACCAAAATTAGGTTGCCGGATCAAGTTGGCGATGCGTTCGTCCACCGCATCGGTCTCAAACAGTCCGTATCGATGCGGCAGCCCGAGATGCTCAAATCCAGTGTTGTGCAGGACGGGGCTGAGCGAATGTGAAATGGGCGTACCAAGCAGGACAAACTTTTGAGGACTAAGAGCGCCAGTTAGGGCCCTTGCTTGATTGACCTGCACCACAGAAAGCTGACCAGGCGCACCAGAGGTTGGCATTGCTGGGTGCGTAACGGGCAGAAGCGTATTGTTCAAAATCCGGCTGAGCTGACCTGCCACACCCATGTTGATTGCGATCAGGGGCTTGGCATCCGGTCGAGCAGATACCTTGGCCCTGAACGCCTCTAAAGCAAAGTTGTCTGCCGGAGAGAAGGCCCTACCCACAATCTTGACAATGTCTCCAAAGCGCAAACCCAGCTCGTACTGCTTGAGGGTCTCAGGTGAGTCCCAGTGCATTTCGCCGTTCCAATTGTGATGGGAGGCAATGATACGCGAGTACCCTCGATGAGCACGAACTGCAGCCAGGCGGTCCTCGGCATGGCGCATTTCCACATCGACGTACTCGCAACCTTGACGGAAGCCAAGCTTGATGAGCTCAAAGTACTCTTCAATGGCATCGTCAGGGAACATGCCGCCTTGGCTTTTGGTGCGAACGGTAAAGATGACTGGCAAGTGTGTGCGTTGTCGAAGGGCTGCCAATTGAGTCGCGACGTAGAATGCATCGGGAATGCGCGGCGTTTGAGGCTGCACGCCTTCCTCGCTCAGAAGGTCTACGCGAAGTTCGATCGCATCGACGCCGGCGGTCAGCGTCTCAACCAGAGAAAGAGCGGGGGTGACATCTGCGAATGTGAGACTGAGCATGAATGTTTGCCTGCCTGGGCTATCTAGGTCCGCGATCTGATTGGTCTCAATACCAGATATGAAGCGGAAGTACCTCGCGACCTCTTCGACGAGGCCTTGCGCGCGTCGTATAGAGAGAGCGCGGCTCGGTGGTCCGGACAAGCTACTATTGAGGGCGCCAGCTTGACCATTTGCGAGACCGCTTGATGCATTGTTACCGGTCTCAGCGTCAAATGTATCGATGATCGCGGTATTGCCAGAGTAGCTAACGAGTTCGTAGCTCGAGCATTGATAGAAGAAAGGGCGTCGCCGCTTGAAGACCTCGCGCACGGGCTCTCCATAAGATGGACGATCCGAGGTAGAGAGGAACTTCACAACCTCTTCAAAATCCCGCATGACGTAGACGACGGGCCCGCGGGTGCGTGCGTACTCCTGAAGCAAAAGTCGGTTCTCTTCCGACTCGATCACACCTCCACCTAGTGAGATTAAGTGACCCGAAGCTTTGGTGGTCAAGAGCTCTTTGAGAATCTCCGTTTCTTTCGCGCGGAAGGCAGGCCAGCCGTGCTCAGCGACAAAGTTATTGAGGGTGTATCGCTCGTTGAAGACTACGTCAGCATCGACGAAGGGTCGTTGCAGCGCAGCTGCACCGAAACCCCCCAAATAAGTTTTGCCCGAGGCACGCATGCCAATGCACACGATGCTGGCATCTCTGGCGTACTGGATAGGCGTAAGACTCTTGCTGAGTGTGCTCAGTGTAGCGCTCGTGGAGGCGGCCGGCCGAGGCGTTTGAATGTCTACGCCTTCTAGCTGCAGGCCGAGCGTGGCGTTGACGTCGTCCCAATAATTTGGCCACGTCTTGGCAGTGCATCGAGCTTCATCCATGACCACGCCCGTACCGGGCACTACGGCAGAAAGAATACTGAATGCCATAGCAACGCGATGATCGTCGTAGCAATGCACCTGAACTCCCGATCTAAGCTTAGAGGGATGAACACCCCAAATTTCTAGACCATCTTCGTGTTCTTGAGTCTTGACGCCAAGTTTGGCGAGCTCGTCCATCATGGCCTTGATGCGGTTGCACTCTTTCACTCTTTGGTTTGCAATGCCAGTGATACGTGTCGATGAAGCGCCTCCCTCACCTGGCGCGGCAATCGCAAACAAGACTGAAGCTGTTAGGAAGGCGTCCGTCATAGGTTCCATGTCGATGGAGCCGACCTGACGAAGTTGACCGTTGGGTGGCCCCTGTACACTCGTGCTCGTCGGCGTCTGTTCCACCTTGCAGCCCATCGGTGCAAGAACATCTCGAGCGAAGCGTGCGTCACCTTGCAGGCTGCCTGACCCTATATTCGGTACAGTGACTTGAGTGCCTAAAGCGGCAGCGAAAGCAAGGGGGTATGTGGCGCTGCTGGCGTCGCTCTCGACCTCGTAAATCGACGGGGCATTGTAGACACCTCGAGGAATGCGATACGAGTCTGTCAGCTCGCCGGACTTTGGGTCCCTGAGACGTTCAGCGTGGATGCCGAAGTCGCGCATCATAGCTGTGGTCATATCGATGTACGGTTGAGAAATGACTACACCTCCCATAAGCTCCAGCGTGACTTCTTGCGACGCGTATGGCGCAACCAGAAGAAGAGCAGAAACGTACTGGGAGCTGATGCTGGCGCTCAATTGAATGCGTCCACCTTTGATGCCGCCGGGCGCAATCGACAGGGGCAGACAGCCAATTGTGCCTTTGTAATCAATCTCTGTTCCGTTGGAGCGGAGTGCGTCCACCAACGGTCCGATGGGACGTTCTTTCATCCGTGCGTTCCCAGTGACAGTAATCGCAGAGTTGCCCACGGTCAGCAAGGAGCACACACCAGTCATGAACCGTGCAGCAGTACCTGCATTTTGCAAGTAGATGTCTTTGGAGCTCTGCGGTGCCTGTAATGCGCCACCTTTGCCATGGACAATGACCGTCTCGCCTTCGTTTTCCCATTCGAAGCTAGCCGCTCCCAAGTCATGCAGGGCTGCCATCATGACCTGTGTATCGTCCGAGTGAAGTAGATTCTTGATACGACAAGAGCCGCTGCTTAGCGCAGCCAGCACTAGTGCTCTGTTGCTCACGCTCTTGGAGCCTGGTGGTTGGATCGTCGTCTGAGCCTTGGCTGGCGCTCTCTCGACCGGCACGATGCGTATGCCAGCACTCAGGATGCGAGCAATGATTGCGTCCGGGACCGTGCTCGCCTTGTCTTCAGCGGTCGCTCCTATGCGAGAGAGCAAGACAATTTTCTTCTCCGTGCCCGAATTCTTTTTGTCAACTCTCATGATGTCCAAAAGCCCCTCGACCGTGAGACCCTCTGACTTGGGCAAGCGGACGATGCGCGAGTCGACCACCGACACTGGCAGATTGTACTGCTGCAAGCATCTGGACAACCTTCCAACTGCCACTTGGGACAGTCCAACCATACCACGAGCGATTTCCGCTTCGAGGATCATGCCTACGCTGATGCACTCTCCGTGGAGCATGTCGGGTGTCAAGACGGCCTCTATCGCGTGTCCAACAGAGTGACCAAAGTTGACGAGATTTCGCAAGCCAGTCTCCTTCTCATCAATGGTGACGATGTGCGCCTTGACTCCAACGCTACCTCGAATGACATCCAGCAGAAGGGTCTGGGCCACACTGCGCGTCTCCAAGATCCTGCCAGCATCGATGGCCTGATCCTCGGGAAAGGGTCCCAAGACAGCAGACCTGATCGCGGGGGCGTGATTCTCAAGTTTGACGAAGTCAGCAGCGTCCCAGATTGCTGCCGTCTGCGGCAAGGGTGGAATCAGAAGTCAATTAAGAAATTTAGACTGACTTTTCGCAGCGCACTGGCGCACGGCGACTTCAACGCACGTGCTACTCACCTTGACCACCTCAGCCATGCCGTTGCTGAACTCGCGCTCGGGCAGGGTCTGTAAGAAAGCGGCATCGATGAAGACGTACTGAGGTTGATGGAATGCGCCTACCAAATTCTTTCCGTTCGGCGTATCGATTGCCGTCTTACCGCCCACAGCGCTGTCTACCATGGCGAGGAGCGTGGTGGGGATCTGCACGTAGCGAACGCCCCTCATGAAAGTGGCAGCTACGAACCCGATCAAATCTCCCACCACACCTCCACCCAGCGCCAGTACTACGGCATCGCGGGTGACACCGTGTGACAGCATCCAATCCTCCAGCTCCGCCTTGGTCGCCCGGCTCTTGCTTCCTTCGCCAGGAGGCATGGCTCGCGAAAGGACACGAGCTTTGGAGTCCTTTGCTTGCAGTGCCGATCTGAGCTCATTCAGGACTGCAGGAGCGTGCAAGCTGGCCAAAGTGGTGTCGGTGAAGAGTATGTATGTGCTAGCTGCAAGAGTGGAGGTGACAACCTGAGCAATATGCTTGGACAGGTGAAAGCCGAGGTGAATGTCCGTGGCAAGACATCTCAACGTGTGTACGTCTGCGCCTGCTGCTGACCTAGCTGGAGGAGCATGGTAGGAGGCAACCTTGATACCGGATCCATGGGCCGGCACCGCTTCATGCGCTGCCATATTGATGACTTGCGGAACTTCGATCGCGTAGGAGACGCGAATTTCAATACAAAGGCTTCAGAACCTTGATTGGCTTCGGACCTTGCACGCCTCCTTGCCTCCTCGTGGTCCGTAGTCTTGCCGCCGTGCCTGAGTTTGTAGTGCTATGGGAAATGAGAGGCAATGAAAGCGAGCAAGCTACGAAGGCCGAAAGAGGTGCGAGTCGAGTCTGGCTGTGCGGTGAAAGACGTGCGCAGGAAGCTCTTGGCTTCCCTGACTCGATTTGCGTGCATGCGCATGCAGTCACCAGTCAAGCGTAGAGCGCGAAGAATTTGAATCTTACGGGGCGAGGCGAAAGCGGCAAAAAAGCCAGGCGGTTGGGGTCGTGCACGTGACTGAGTTTTCCGCCTTCCGCGTGCGCACCTGCGTTCGGCACGCGCGGGGTGATTTGACTTGCGTTCGCTCGCACGGGCTGCCGAGTTGTGTCCCATCGCCATCGGCTATCCTCGTGGGTGTGAAGTCCGATGCCCAATGCATGCATGCAACCGCCGCTCCATCCCTGCTGTGATCCTATTCAGTCCTTCAACTCGGACCATGGACGCCGTCGTCATCATCAGTCAATACTGTGATTAGTGTAGCAACACTCTTTTGGCGGACTGCTGCCGGCCCGCGAGATGATGCAAGATCTCTTACATCGGTCAGCACACACCACGACTGGTGTCGACACGATTGCATCCGTAGAAAGCCCCTCGCGTCTTCTCGTTGAGCTCGCTTGGAAGGACACCACCTCCATGTCAACATGCCCTCCATTGCGGTTGTAGACATTGCGGGTGGCTCCGAAGCCCAAACCAAGCTGCAAACGGATCCGCGCGGTACCTTGTCTGCACCATCCAAGACCTCAACAAAGCGCAAGGCTAGCGCCGTCAAGCTCGATTTGATGTAAGTGAGTTCAGGTCGCGGCGTCTTTAGCTTTGATCTCGAATCATGGTGACTCAGGCCGTCTCTTCGCACAAAACGGCTTTGGCAGCGCCTTGAGAAGCAGAGCTATCAGTCCAGGTGGCTTTGGTGGGCACGCGACGCCTGATTACGGATCATTTCCTAATGACAGCCTCCCCGACGGAGCTGTTCAGAGAAGAGATGGAAGCCTCGAAATAGGCCAAAGCCGCACACGCAATGGCGGACTCGCACATTTGGAGGGCATTGATTGCAGTAAAGCAAGTCGTAGAGTGGCCTGGTAAGTGTCGGGGTGCAGAAAATCTGGTGGTGGTGCTTGAGGGCAGCATTGCGGGCGAGAGGTCTTTGGCTGATAAAGCTTCGCGTCGCCCCGGGTGGTCCTCGCTAGGCTAATTCTGTTGGACTTGCAGTACCACATTCCATCATTGGTAGAAATACCAAATAAAGCAACGTCCACAGCCAAAGATGAGCCTTCGCTAGAAGAGCACTTTGCCAATCTGCTGCGCGAAGAATGGGAGCCGCGCGAAGATCGCCTGCATCCCACTTCCCGACACAAAAGTGCAAAACTGGCATCAGACGACGAATCAGACTGGCAAACTGCTTTACCCCGACACAAAAAGAGGAAAGAGCGAGTTGCCAAGGCTAGTACAGCCGCTTCGAGTGACGCTGGGGTGGAGAGGGACGATGAGAGGAGCGCCGCTGCATCGACATCAAGCTTTGGTGCAGGGGCAAGCACCACCACAACAGGAAGTGTCAACCAGAATAAGCTTCTGAACGACACCAAAGAATCCGCTCGTCCGCGTCAAGAGGAGGCCTTGAATCCATCAAAGAAGAAGCGAAGGCCAAAAGGGGCGAAGGGCCTTCGACGTGCCAAGGAGCATAAAGATGAGTCTCAAGTTGCACTCGACGTCAACAGGAGTTTTGTTGGTGATGCTTGGAGCTCGAGTGAGTTGTCGTGCGCCAGTGTCTCGAAAGCGTGACGCGCTGCAGATCCGCGATGTGGCGCTCATTGTATTTGTGCTCTTTGTGTCCCCATGCAGACGTCCCTTTAGTCGAGAGAACCCATCGTCGCAAGCAGCTGTCAGAAGTCGTGGCGCACGTGCTGCGGCGACATCCTGCGTTGTCCTACTACCAAGTGAGGCTGTCCCTCTCTCAAATCTGGTCCGTCAGCGGAGGCTGATCTGATCAAATTTTTACGATAAAAAAAAGGGCTATCACGATGTAATATCTGTCCTTATCGTCACCCTTGCGCCAACGATCCCGGAGATTGTATCCGAAGAGGAGGGTGCGAGCCTGTGGTGCACTGCGGCAGAAGGAAATTTGGTGAAGGACGCAGCAATCAGGCTCAGTCTCCACTGGCTAAGAGATTTCATGTCTACTGGCCTAGAGCCTGCTCTAGGTGCCTTAAAGTGAGTTGATGGAAGCAAATGCCTCTCAAGCCAATGAGAGAGCGCACGTTCACCACAACACTTGCTTGACTTCTCACAGGGTACTTCACAATCTATTGCGAGCTGCTGATGCAGAGCTGGCCAAGGCTGTAGAGATGTGAGTCCGTCACAGCTCCAACAGCGGCTATGATCGCTAAAAGTATTTATCGCCGACCCGACGCAGAGCATCTCCTTTGCCGTATTTTGCGCTTTCGTGGATCATTTCGATGCTTTGTCACGACCTTGGACCATGCGAAAGCGCTCGGGCACTCGACTACTTTCTGTGCGCTGGGCCGGCAGGCACCATTTATTTTACAGCCTCTGTGAGTTGGGACCGCCTCATTACCAAGCTTGCGGTGTTGTCGTCTGACCTTAGTGCCGCATTTCTACACTTCATGTCATCGCACACATGACAGCTCTTGATAGCCAATAGAGACGCTTTGCTGGCCCTTGCAGAAGTCGATGCGGATCCCGCAGAGCTGCATCACCACTTGTCTCAGCTGGTCAACTCCATGTCTGAGTCTGGTCCTGCTACAGACGTCCTCGCCCAGATCCTCAGCTCGGCCAGCCTCCTACAAAACAAATACCCCTTGTGCTCGCCACAAGCAGAGACAGACCGTATTATGGGACCCAAATCGGTCCTTTGTTCCTTTGACAAGATAAAGAGGCAAGCGAATGCGGAACAGTGGATGGCAAAAGATAAAGAAGCAGAACGCATCCTGAGCGGACCTCTAGATTGGATCGTCCTTGACTATTCGCCTAGCTCGCCAGAAGCCGACGTGGAGGTGGAGAAGGACAACGTGAATCGGATCGACACCAAGTTGGACAAAAGAGTACCCAACGGAGGCCATGCTGCTCTGCTTGTCGCTGGTGCGCTGGGAGCTGCTACCGCCGTCATTCTTTACGGAGCTTCGAGCGGGCAATTGCCTCCCCAGACTATGTCTCTGCTCAGATCGCTGGCTGGGCGGGGACGGCTCTGAGCGTAGGATGCCCAAAGAATCACGTATGTGTATGCGCTGCAATCGTTATCAAATGGCTGACAAACGGAATTTGTGCGACTCCGGCAAGTTATTCGAGCGCACAGAATCGTGGTCATTGCGGCAAAGTAGACAAAGGTATTGAACTTGCGGGGAAACTGCTCTTTATTTCCGTCAAGCTGATATGGGTGGATACTGACGGACCGCAGCTATAAGCGACTCTCGAACGGGTCCTAGTGACTGATTGGCCCTCGCCGGCACATTCTGTCCTACTTTTTTGTCCGGCTTGAGGTACTGTCACAGTTCATCTTTCGGCTTGGCGTTCGCGAGGCTCTCTTCCAAAGGCAGACAGATTGCCGGTGTGGAGACCTAGAGTTGATGGGAATCAAGCAGTAGAATTCGCTGTGAGCGGCGCTGAATGCGTACATTAAGCGCCTGTATCTCACCTTCATTTTGTAGATGCATTTCTGCCGATCGGAACGAGAATAAACCAAGACTCGCATTCAGTCGCACAAACAGAGAGCTGAAATGGGAAAAGTTGTCACCCACCTCTGCCTCGAAAACTTCCAACAACTCGTTCTCGGTTCCACAGGTGAATTCAACCTGCGTGGACAAGGAGAACGTACAGTCAGACATTTGCAATCTGAAGCTTGTAAGTATGACCCCCAGCACTATCGACTGACGATGGATGATCTCTCTGGTCCGTTCCAACACCTCTGACCCTTGTCGTATATCTGACGATGGAAGAACGCGTCATCGCTGACTGTCAAGCTCGTGTTGACAGGCTCGAATTTGTTGAAGCGGCTACAGATGCAACAGTGTGGCCATCATCCGTTTTCAGCAGTTTTCCCAGTTCGATGGATGCCTCGAGCACACTAAACTAGACTCACCCCAGACCGACACTCATGCCACCTTTGTTGGGCACTTGCTTCGTGTTTCCAAAGAAGCAGAATTCGTACGTGTACTCGCCCATATTCTTGCTGATGCACTTCTGATCCAAGGCTTTCCATTCCGACTCTCTACCCCACTGTTCTGGGGTCAAGTTCAGCTCGCCTTTCTTAGTTGCCAGGGAGGACCGCTTGGACTGAAGGTCGGACGAGGCGGTGTTCCAAGCTGCACGGGCTGCTACGACGTCTAAGGACGGGTCACAACATGGATGGTCAGAAAGCCTGTCAGGTGCCAGCAGACGACGGCCCCGGCCCCTTCAAATTGCGCGCGTAGAAGGACTCACTTTCTGGCTCCGCCTCGTCCCCAGACTTGCGTGTTCTCTTCACATCCGAGATGACATTTGCCTTCGTGAGCAGGTCCAGCAGCGTATCAACGCCTGCTTCGAAGTACGGCACCACTGGATCTGGCAGGTATTCGTGTATGCGGAACACTGTGCGATGCGTGACGCAGCCAGAGTCAGCATGGGACTGCCAGACAACCTTTGCATACGACATGTCGTCCACGGCCAACGACTTACGTATTCCAGTCTCGGACTCTGAACTGCCCGCGTAAGCTCCATCTTCCATCAGACTGAGGGTCTCGGCTTGTGCCAGATCTCTGACCACCGCCTGTGTCCAATCGCCCTCGTATAGCAGTTCGTAAAGTCTGACAGGCTCCGTGTCCTCCTTCACGTTCTGCTCTTCAGCAGCAGCATCGCCCTCGGCACCCTCTGTGGCAGCATCTCCGGACCCTCGCCTCCATTTCCGGTACTCCATCACCACGCCCTTGACGGCCATGTCTTGATAATTTGGATTGTACCCACTCGAGAGGTCATCAAGCAGCGCCGTCAGCCTTTGAATTTCTGCTTTGAGCAACGCATCTCTGTCTTGCAGAGCTGCCAGGGCGTTCTGGTGCGTACGAAGCGTAGCATACAATGCTGCGCGTCGACGAGGGGTCGCGAAGTTAGTACACGAGTGCCTCAGCTCTACCATTGGGGGAGAGTAGCCAAGAGCGGGCGACTTACGCGAAGCCTTCTTTCTTTCGATGACTCCGGCATCCGCTTGTTCCGCTATTTCTAGAGCAGCTTTCAATCTCTGCTCTTTCTCCTCGGCCACTTGAACCTCCACCTCCAGCTTCGTCACCTCCAGGTCGGTCGCCTCTAGCGACTTCTTGACCTGAGCAATATAACCCGCCCTGATTTTGGCTCCCTGACATGTGCAAGTGGAGCATTCAAGGGTGAGTGGGGCGGGGCTCACGCAGTGGACGCGAATGCGGCAGCAGACTTTGGCTCGACTCACCGCTCTCTGAATGTTTTGCTGCTCCGCCACCCTTTTCCTGTACTCTTTGCCGATCTTGGCGCATCGATCAGGGCAAGACACTTTTCCATCCGTCTCATCGCTTCCGTCGCAGCACTCGGGGTCGCAGATGCCGTCATTGACCCGACTTGACAGAAGGTATGCGGGCAAATGACCTTCGTTCTTGCAGTAAAAGCGAGAGGTGGGGCAAGCCGATGTGCCTGATGCAAGAAAACGCGAATCAGGCACCCACGATTCGGGCTCTCGAGAGTATACAGCCGGACTCACCTGGCTCGTCGCTGCCATCCTTGCAATCGCAGTAATCATCGTTCACGGCGCTAAAGGGAATCGTTTCACCTGACTCCAGGCATTTCCATTCGGTTCCACCATCCGCCGGCGTGGCATATAGATGGTGCTCTGCATCGTCGGCCGCAAAGGGAGACAAGTGAGTCGAGGTACCTCTTTGAAACTCTCACTGCTTGGCATCAGTGTGCGGGCTGAACCTCATGATCGGCTGAACTCACGCTCCGGCGCCACACCATGCAGAGGATCGTGTGATGTTTCTTTGGCTTGGGTTCGAGCGAGCTGAGAAGCGCATGTAGCTGCAATGGCAACGAATGCGATGGGTAAGAAGCTCTTGCTGCTCCTTCCACGTGAGCGTGCTCTTAGTCTCATGACTGAAGCGGCTTTGTTTGCGTAAACGATCGGTCCAAGTTGCTAGCTTCCAGAATGATGTGAATACTCAGTCTGCCAATGAGGTCGGTTTGAGTAGCTCTTGCTCTCTGCGCATCGAGGAACATCGATCCTCTGCGTCGCGATTCCAAGCCGAGCGTGAAGGTGTGTGCTTGTCGCTGCGTTTGTGGTGAAGCACGAGCGCGAATCACGAATAACCACGAATGACCTTGTATCCTTCGATCACCAGCCCACCCCGCGAGCCCTGCGTTCGTGCGTCTCGAGTCGTGATTCTTGATTCACATTGGCACCCAACACGTCTCACCCCGCGCAGGGAGCAGCACGAAGACCTCTGGCGGATGATCGCGCTGTTTGCTGTGCTCCACTGCTGCTGGGCGGTCGATGCACCAAAGTATGTAAATTTTGAATGTAGACGCTAACCACGTGACTGCTTCCTCGCGTGGCTGCGCACGCATGCATGTTGAGCTTGTCTAATGCGAGCTACAGGGTGTTGGCCTACTCACGACTCACACCCCTCTCGATCGCCCTTCACTCATCCTCACCATCCATACATCTCCAACCTTTGATCACCCTCAAACTCTGACTGTGAATCACGAACTCTCTTATACTCTGCCGGGCTTTGCATCCGGCGCTCTCGTTGGCACTTTGACGCCCTGCTTGGCTTCAGCACAACACCATACAGCATTGTCGTGCATCCGGACTGCGTGTGACCTTTCCGCGAGACAGTGGGCCACTTAGCGCCCATCCATCACATCCGTAGCACTTCGACGCCCTGTGCGTGTGTAGTTCGGAGCTTCCGAAGGTGGAAAGATCCAACCTTTGTCCTGTCATTCACGTCTGCCTTGATTCGTCTGCACGGCAGCTCGGCTCTCGGCGCCATGTTCGGCTCTCTCATGCACCTCGCCTTCGACGCTGCTCTGCTCAGCATGGTTCTGTCGGGCGTCAGAAGAGGCAGCGGGATCGCTTTGGACATGAACGTCTTTCCTGCCGACTTCAGGCACTTTATCAGAGCCTATTTAGAGGTCGGTGAATGGGTGAGTAGATAGATGGCAGTGCCTGATCTGTATCTGCCCGCAAAATTAGCGCATGGACAGACGGCGTAGGAGCTCAATGAAAGGAGAAGGGAGCGCAATGCTTATGATTCCTTGCCTTCATATGCAGTCGATGGATTTCTTGACTGTCGTACTAGGCCGCTCGAACTACTTCACCAGGTCCCTCAAGTAGCTTTTGCCGAGGTGGCACAGAACCCGATGGACGCGCGTTCACGACGCCAATCAAGAATGCACCGGTTCGCCAACCCGGCAGCCTTTTCTAGGGGAGAGAGGTTCTGCCTACTTTTGTTCAAATCGACGTCAGCGCTTTGATGGGCTCTCTTTGACGCATCGATCCGCTGGCGCCCTCCCTCCATCGGCTCAATCGGGCTCGAGGCCTGCACATACGACGCTCGCTTCAGGCTCATCGCTCTTCCACTCCACACTGGCCCGGCACGATGACCAAAGACTCTGAATGTACCAACAGCACGGCTCCTCTCTTTAACGATACGTGAAGTTCGATTTTCAGTCATTCAGTCTCACATCAAAGGCACAATTGAGACGTGGGCAGAGCATACATGAGCCAAAAGCTGGGCGAGATGAAGGCACTTGGTCCCTGCGTGTCGCGAAGGCGTATTCACCACCGGCGGAGCAGTCTCATTCTCACTTGTCTTTCTCGCCAGCTTTCTCCTGTTTGACCCCAATGCCGAGCTGAAAGGCGATCTTGAGCAAAAAGGGACCAATGGTAGAGATGATGGTGAAAGCGTCCTCCCACGTCCAAAAGGTGGGATTGGAGAACCTTTGCCAACCCAGATCCCAAATGATGACTGCTATGTAGACGACATCGGAGCAGATGCCAGCTCCGAGGATGCAGCGCCAGACGAGAATGTTGCGCGGAAAGATGCGCAAGGTGACGAAGTCGTTGAAGACCATGATGAGCCTTTTGCGAAGATGGAGCGAGGGAGAGGGAGCGCGTGCGCGCAAAAGGGAGGGTTGGGAAGCGATGTGAGGTGCATGTAGGCTGCTCGCAAAGACCACAGCGTCTCTTTCTCACCATCCTCCACCAATCTGAGCAAAGATGGGACGCTGAGTGTGCAGCAAAGTATATGCGGCGCAACGCGTCAGATGGTGGTCGAAGCGAGAAGCCGGTAAAGGTGCGGGCGCAGTGTGCACAAGCGATGCGCCAGAGCAAACTTACCATCCTCTCATCGTACGCTTTGAAAGCGTTTGGAGTGGCGGGAGCGAGCAATTTGGGCGCAAAGATGGCGGCCATGGCGCCCAAGAAAGCGGCGACGGGCTCGATCCAGTTGAACGTGATGCTGCGAGTCGATGTGTTTGCAGATGTGCCAGTGCAGTGGCTTCAGCTCTTTGATTGCGTGATCTGCTGCTTGGAATCGAAAGACTTACCGATAAATCTTGGCGATGGGATCGTCTTGATGCGAGCTGTGTGCAGATGTCAACGTCGGCATTTCGACACACTGTGCTAGGAGGCTGGAAGATTGGGCGAATGGGAGTGCGAGGCTCAAAAGTAGAATGGCAAGCAGCTACAAGATCGCCTGTGCTTGTGTCCAGGCTGGATGGCAGATGATGGGAGTCAAAATGATGCCACGGATACACTGTCGTCCTCGCGTGAAATGCTTGGTTCGCTAAGCTTATGATCGTGGTTCGCGAACAGCCGGCGCCACATGAGAAGTAATCAGCGAGTGAATATGAGCTCATACAGAGCGTAGGCTAATAAGATGCCTGCCTGCTCAAATTCACTGGTGATGGTTGCCTCTGTAGCCTTCAGCTCAACATCTCAACGGTGACTGCCTATGCGGTGCGCCCTCTGTCTGTATCTGCTGGAGCAGCCAACAATTACCAAGGTAATTCATACCACCCCGCTCTACATAGGGGCACATCCGCGGACTCGGCGGCAAGGCGCGCTCGCGGGTCGTCGGATCCGACATGCTGCTCCAGCAGACTGAGCTGGAAGCATGATAGCGCACATTCGTGATTCTAATTCTGATATACGTTTGCTCGACCAAGTAAGCCTTGGAATCTTGGAGATCATGAAGGCAGGCCGAGCCTCATCCTCTCGTTCGCACTCACACTCTACTACTAGCACGGCCGCAACAATGCGAATCAAAAGAACCTGCTGATCACCACACCCAAAAGAAATCACGTACGTGAATCTCACTCCACCTCGTTAAGCAAAGCGTGAATCATGAATCTTGAATGTCGCTCGTCCCACCATCCGAGCGTGCAGCACAGCAGCAGCAGCTGCGTGTACCACAGAAGAAGAAGTGTGCCCGCGGGTAAAGGTTACCGGTACATGTTTGTCATTCCGTGCTGCAGCAGAGCCGTACGGCGTACGCGATGCGTGCGCGCGCCAGCAAGCGTTGAATTCATCCGCGGAGGGCAGATATATAATAGGTACACAAATCACGATCGCACGTCCAATTCCCACGGAGTTGCTCAGCAGGTCTGACTCAGCCTTTGGCGACCGAGACTCTGGCTTGGCAGGGAGCAATTAAGCGGACTTGTATTTCAGTGCTGGTTGCCGGCTCTTATACCTGTCAGCCTGCGACTTCTTGAAAGTCAGGCGCCTGTCAAGGTTCAACAACAACAACAATAATGATAAGGCTAGCCTGAGCGAATGCGCCAGTGAAAATGGGAATGGCAAATGAGGAGCAGCGTGATCACCGTCAACAGGCGGGACCCAGCACTCACGACTTAAGGCATTCTGATTCACGATGGGATGGGGTTTGGGTGACTTAACTCGCGTAGGCAAGCACGCACACGCACACGCACGCACACGCACACGCCGCGTGAATCAGCATGCTGCAAGATGCATCACTGCATGACGGAGCGGGGGCCTCTGTCGCGCGCAGACACAGCCGGGCCGACCACCAGCCGGCTCGAATATCGCGTCGACCGCGGTGCGTGTGTGACGTGCCCGCGTCGAGCAGGCCTATATATAGCTCTGAGCTCGATCCCGGCCGCGGTCGCGATATGCCGTTGAAGCACAAATTCCTGTTTCTGACACAATAAGTGATTGGTTGGTTGATCACACACACACACAGCGCTCAGCCGCACTTTGACGTTTCCAGTGAATGCGCCCGTCTCACCTTGACGAGCTGACCGCTGAAACGAGCGCCCGCATCGCTCGATCTATATAAGTGCGCATCTCGTCCAAGCCACGCTCAGCCCGCAGCCCGCAGCCCGACTCACGACTCCCGCCCGGCCTATATACCAACCCTCAGCGTTGTCCAACACAGCCCAACACCAGCATCATGTCCGACGAAGCGCCCGATCCCGTAGTGCTTCGAGCAGTCCCCTCTACCAACGTATTCAGATCGGACATTTTCGCAGGCAAAGTGTTGTTGTGTTCTGGAGGAGGGTCGGGCATCTGCAAGGGCATGGTAGCGACGATGATGAAGCACGGATGCAACGCTGCCATCATCGGAAGGAAAGCGGACAGGTTGAATGCTGCTTCGAAGGAACTGGAAAAGGAGGCTGGCAATGGAACAAAGTGCATCGCTACTCCCAGGGATGTCAGAAAGATTGAGGATATGAACGAGAGCGTCAAAAAGGCGAGGCGAGGCGAGGCGAGGCGATTGCGCGATGCAGGAGCCTTCTCGACTAGGTTTCGCCTTGTTGTGCGTGAGCAGGGCCACTGAGACGGAAGACCCTCGCACCCCCACCCTCACAGACCATCGCAGAATTTGGAAGAATCGACTTTGTCATCTGTGGAGCGGCAGGTGAGCGGGCCTCTTCGCAGCAGCAGTCGAAGCGAAGGGGATCCGCGACTAACTCGGCGCGCTGCTGATTGTCCGTCATCAGGCAACTTTCTGGCCAGCTTGGAAAGCCTTTCGTCCAACGCCTTCAAGACGATTCAAGAGATCGATCTGCTGGGTGAGCTGCACGAGCGGAATGGGAACGAGCTACGCAAGCTGACGCGGATGAGCACGGTCTCGCTACCTTGGACGCGCAGGCACATACAATCTCTTCAAGGCTTCCCTCGACGAGGTCAAAAAGTCCCAGTGAGTGATCGACGCGGCGTACCTGCAGCAAGGGATCCTACGTTCGCTTCCCAGCCGACGCAAAAGCTGATCAAACGAGACGCGATTGCATTCCATCTCCACCAGCGGCGCATATGTCCACGTCACAGCAACGCTTCATCACACCGGTATACCGTAAGTAAGGAGCCGCAGAGGCAAGCAGCTCGCTCACCTTCTCATTCGATCAGTACACTCACTTGGCATTCCTCCCACTCGCTTCCTGCTCACTTGCATCACGCAGCTGGCAGAGTCCAGCATCAGCAGCCAAGGCAGCCATCGAGACGCTATCGCAGAGCATAGCAGTGGAGATGGGTCCGTGGGGTGTCAGGTCCAACTGCATCGCTCCTGGCATCATCAAGGGTACCGAAGGTGCAGACAGGCTGACTCCAAAGGGCGCCGAGGACTACGTAGCTAGGTGAGCGAAGACTTGCGGGAGCTACATCGACTCTCCTTCATCCTGCGCGCACAAAAGCTCATCTCACAATGTGCCCTACTGCTCGCCTGTGATTGATCAGTCAAATCCCATTGCAGCGTCAAGGAGACTTGGTGAGTGATGAGGGAGCGGGCGCACAACACTGCCGCAAGCTCGGGCATCCTGACATTGCGCCTTTGTCTTACCCCCCTCCTGCAACGCTTCAGCACGACATCGCAAACGCTACCGTATTCCTCTTTTCAGAAGCGGCTTCCTACATTAACGGCACGGTTGTCATCGTCGATGGTGCAGCTCGCAATTTCCCTGGTCCTTTTTTGCCCTACCCGACCAGCTCCCTGGACCAAAAATCCATCGCAGACATTGTCAAGGGCAGTCGATTGTGAGAAGCTGCTCACACGCGCAGCTGCACCCTTTGTCTCAACTTCTACGCGTCTGGCTAGGTCGAGAACAAAAGTTTGGATGTGCAAGTGCGGCCTCATGAACATGCGCGGCGTTGAGACCGGAGAGTTTGCTACACATACATTAATTATTGGGAATGAAATGGGTTGCTCGCCTGATCTAAGACCCTCTGAGTACGCCAAGTGTGCGAAAGTAAAACAATTGCGGCTGTCTGAGTTGAAAGTCGAGACTTGTGACATTCGAGAGCTGAGCGAGATTGCAGGAATCGATAGAGAGGGTAGCACGTTCGAATGCAAATTGGAAATCGCAACAAGGAAAATGCTTGTCGTCTGCGCTTGCGAAATGGAGGACCGCTCTCGAGCGCTTGTTGTCGTGGGCGTTGCTTCGCTGCGTGCATCACGCAGCGGTCGAAATGTTGAAGATGTCGTCGTCTTCATCGAGTTGGGGCGTCGTGATTTCGATCTGCACATCCACTTCCATGTCTTGCCCATCATCATCATCCTCGTCAAAGGAGTGATGGCCAGCCTTGCTTGGCGAAGCTCCGCCCCCATGATGCAAGATCCTCGAAACGTACGGCGAAGGGGCAAAATGAGCTCCAAAGTGGGACTCCGTGCCCACTTGCTCGCCTTCGCTTCCCGCAGCATGGAGGATGGGTTCTCCATTGACACTGTCCGCGTCGAATTGCCACTGTGATTGGAGATCGGGAGACAGGCGCCGAGCCTCGGGATCTGGATCAGCTTTGAGGACCTCGAGCACAAAGTCGTCCGGCTCGTGCACCAGGGAGCCGCGAATGTCCAACACTCGCTCCTGATCTCGTGCTGATCTATCGCCCTCGCATGGTGCTGAAGCGGGCAAGCCGACTAGACCCAGGGCAGAAGACGCGGAGGAGGACCGTTCCATGTCTTTGCCGACCAAAGGACTCCCCCCGATGTCCGACATCTCGCTATCACCGTCGGCATCCTTTCGATCCGCGATGGTAGGATTGGAAATGCTACCGTTGGGTGAGATGGAGTGGTTGATCTCCGACAAAGGCACCTCGAAATCTGGCAACTGATCCAGCTCTGATGCCATCAAGCCAGCCGACATCTTCTGGCGCACTGCAGCGACAACGGGATGTGCCAAGATTTGCTTTGCAGAGGGACGACGCGCAGGATCGGACGCCATCATGGCTTTGATCAAGCGCACCAGCGAGACGCTGAATGCAGACAAATCCACGTCCGACGTATCGTCAGAACGCAGCTTGTGCCAGGCCTCTCCATTATCCGGCAAAATGACGTTGCCCGCTGCTTCAAGCATGATCAGACCGAGACTACGTTGCATGAATGGAAGACAAGTCAGTCGAAGCACTGCCTAGCCCGCATATCAGATGACCGTCTCCGACTCACCTGTATATGTCAGCGGCGGTGCCGCTCTGCCCGCGAGCCATGATTTCAGGTGCCATGTAGACGCGATCTCCCTCGCGTTCGACTTTGGAACCCTTCGAGGCTTGACGCGCTCGCACCGCCTGGCCAGAGCTGGCGTACAGCTCGTTGATGGCTTCGTCAGAGCTAGCAAGATCCTCGTTGCTCACCCGTGCGCCACGCAGAATGGTCGCAGGATCGACGGGAGGCCACCTCGTAGCGAGTCCAAAGTCACCAAGCTTGAGTGTGCCAACCTCTGTGATGAAGACGTTCGCTGGCTTCAAGTCCAAGTGCAGGATACCGTTCGAGTGGACGTGATCCAGACCCGCCGTCATTTCAGCAAGAACCTTCCAGAGTCGTGCCTCATCGAGCTGCCCGGCCAAGTTGCCAAACTCCTCCAGGAAAAAAGAGAGCGTACCCAGGGGACAAAGTTCCGTCTGGACGTAGAGATGACCGCCCTCTTCCCAAGCGTCCACGAGCGACACTACGTTGGGGTGGCCTTCGCCATTCTGGGCTTGTGAAAGGTGTCTAAGTATGTCGACTTCTTCCAGGTGTCTTAGCCGATCCCGCGGACCCGTGAAGGAGCGTTTCATGCGTTTGACGGCGTAGATACAACCAGTGGTGCGCTCTTCTGCCTTTACAGCTTCGCTGAACTCCCCAGAACCCAATATGGAGTGCACAATGAAGCGCGCCTCGAAAGAGGCAGAGCCGGGCTTTTGAGGGCTCTGCAAAGGACTCGCCAAAGCATTTCTGAGCTTCCGCGAGGCTGTGACAAAATGCTCAGGAACCAAAGATGAGCGGCGTCGCATCTCTGCCAGTTGATTCATCCGTGCCACTCCTCTGGAAGAAACGCGGCCCGAAAAGCTGCTTCTCTTCGAGACGGCAGCCTCGGCGTTCCTTCTAGAAGAAGGAGAAGGCGTCGTGATCAATTGCGCAGCTGTGCAGCCAAGGAGGTGTGTCAATTGTAGTCAAGGCTCCTTGCAGCTCAAATGTTCAGCCACTTACCTTCGAACCACTTGATGCTGTTATTGCGCGTGGGCGTCTGAGGCACGCAACCGGGGCCAAACGCTGGGCTTGGAGCTCCACTAGAGCTACCGCCCAGCCAGCCCTGGCTCTGATCGAAGGTCAAGCCAAAAGAGCTTTGGCGACCTGAGGCAAGCCCTGGCCTGCTTCCAGTTTTGCTGCGCAACAGAGGCGGACGAGCAAACGGGTTTGCGGTTGCCGAAGCAGCGGCAGGATCCTCGCCCGCAAGAATGGTGGTATCGACTCTATCCGGCGCGTTTGCGCGAAGTGCATTGGTTTGTCGGCGTCGGTGTGCAAGGAATGACGATGCGGAGGAGCCCTTATCTAGAAAGTCGCTTCTGTGTGGAGAGGCAGACCGTGCGGTCGTCTGATCGACACTGCTGCCAAAGCTAAGGGCGCTCGAAGACGGCTGGTTCGAGTGTGTCAAGCCTCCAGGCGGCGAGACCGTCCGCGGTAGAGGGGAAGAAATCTTGAGGTGATGAGGCGCACCTCTCGCTGGCGTTGAGGATGACGGACCGGTCCGAGCCTGAGCTGCAAGGATCGATGGGGGCATCAACGTACTTGCTCTGCGCCCCCAAATCTGTCCCTGCGAGGCGGCAGGAGGGTGTCCATCTCCCAGAGGACCGCTGACCGACATTAGGTTCATGGTCGGGCTTTCGCATGCGTCTGGTAGGAGTGGAGAGTCTCCACACGCGCTAGCACCGCTGCTGCAGCTGGACTGCGAGTCAAAGACAGGAGAGCCATGGCTCAAGCGGGAACGGGCACGAGCGCCTGCTCCACTTCTATCGAGCACACTGTGAGTCGATGGCCTGAGAACGCTGGGCGGAGGCTGTGGCGCAAGGCCAGCGATCTTTGAATGAGAAATGTCTCCAGACGCCGCGTTCCTCTTGACCGGAGTGTCAGGCATTGTTGTAGTTGCAGAGCAGTTGGCTGCGGCGTGTGCCTGGGCAGCGGCTACGACTTCCCGCAGCCCAAGCGCACTTGCGCTGTTGCCTAGAGAATGCCCAGCAACTTGAGCACTTACACCGGGCGCTTGGGACCAGGCAGAGGGCGCAAAGCTGGGAGGCAGCGGAGGGACAATGTCGCCAGTAGCAGTGGCGGGTCGACTTCGCTGCTTGCTGACAAGACCGGTCGACATAAATGCAGTGGCTAGAGGCTTAGCATTCTTGAAATTTTGTGGCGTCGTGTAGTGCGCACCGTCCCGCTGAGCACTCCCACTGATGTGCGACGCTGGGCTGCCGAGCATCTCATTAGCCGAGCCAGGACGTAGTGACCTTTGAGAAGCATCTGGTGAGCTTTCCTGGGAGTTGACACCGTCGCTCAGGCTGGTCTCCCTGGCCAACGCTGACCGCTCACGTACGCTGAAAGGATGTGGATCTCGGGCATGGCCGCGCCCAAGATTCAGGTGTGCACTATGCGCAGGCGTGCCGGATGCACCTGTGACGCCGAGGTAGCCAGGGCCACGCTTACCGGCTACCGGACTACCGAAGGCGACTCCACTGTCGTCACCCTCTGCGCCGGTGCTTTCGACCGCATGGCCGGTGGAAGAGGTCGGCATCTGCATGCCATCTTTATGAAGGGGCATCTGCGAGCTGACAGGCATGCTAGTACGCTTGTGGCGGGCTGCAATGCTGCTCATCGCCGTTCGCGAGCTCTCCATCGCACTTTTACCTTTTTGAGGTGCCACGCTTGGCATCGCACCAAGGTCGTGTGCGAATGCGCCTAAAGAGCGGCGTTTCGCTGTGCGCCTGGTCGGCAGGCACTCTTGCCCCGAAGCTGCGTGGCCAGAAGGCGGACATGGGCTTTCCGCTCGCTGGACTGCCAATGTCAAGCGGCCCTCGCTGGAAGCACTTCCGATTGCAGTGCGCGACATTGGCGTAGCGTGGAGGTCCTGGCCCAGCGGAGGGCGCTCGTGAACAGAAGTTGAAGAGTGCGCTCGATTGCGCAAGTGTTCCTGGCTGGAGCGCTCTCCGGCCCGCCTTTTAAAGGGTGTGGTGCTCGTCGACATATTCTCCGCCGGCGCCTCTACCGCCAGATCGCCGCTGCTGTCGCGAGCGCTTGTACGAGAGGAAGCACCAATGGTGGCGCTGCTAGCCGCCGAGCGCAAGCTGCTTCCAGTCGAAGAGCGCGATGGTCCAGCAGCGGCACTCCCTGCAACTTGATCGTTGGCCCCGAAGAGTCCTAGTCCAAGCACCAACCCTGGAGTGCGGCGACGCTCTCCTGATCCATCGTCGCCGTTGCTCAAAAGTCTTTCGCGCGACATACGTGCCCTGGAGTGTAGCCCACCATCGCTTTCCTGTGCATCGCACATCGTGGTCTGTGGAAATGCAAGATCGCCCATCGGACTGGGGCTGGGCGGTGGTGCATCTTCGGCGTCTGAATCTGAATTGTTGTCAAGTCCCTCGGAGGCGTCTGGTCGGGATTGGAGGAATGTTGGCACCCGTCGCCTTCGGCTTGCAACCGCACTCTCAGGTCGTGGTGCAGCAGAGTCGGTCTTGGCTCGAGCGTGAGAGCCGTGACGCAGACCACGACGAACAGGCACTGGTGAGTCATCGTCTTGCTCAGGCATTGTGGCCCCATGATCCGAAGTCATGCGAAGATTTGCTGCCCCAAGCAGAGAAGAGCGCGCATGCGAGCGAGGTAGACCGCTTGGAGTTTGCACAGCTTCGTGCGAATAAGCATTGTAATACGGCTTTTGCAAAGCTGCTCTACCGTCTGTGGCTGGTATGTCTGCTTTGCGAAGATTTGACCAGCCCTCTGGCACACCACCACCTAGCCGAGCCGGGGGCGTCATGCTCACTATAGCAGAGAATTGACGTTCCAACGTGTGAGGGCCTGCAGCTGTTGCGAAGTGCTGGCGTTCCTTGTGGGAAACGGTGGGACGCTGAAGAGTCATATTGAAAGCTTCGGCAGCTTCGGAGCTCGAAGCTGTGGGCTGAATTGGAGCGCGCGGGTCCACAGCGTGCTGTGGTGATATTTCGAGGGAGGTATCGCGAGTCGCCTCTGAGCTGCTTTCATCCTCAGAAGCGCTGCCGGACGTGCGATTGCGCGCTCTCGGTGTCCAGCGATCACTGACGTGGGTGCTGATCTGATCTGAAGTCTGCGAATGCGCACTTGTCGCAGACAGCATGCCTAGGGTAGGCTGTGCGTCCAATTGCTTCGATGCTTCGCCCTCGGAGGTGAGCATGCCATGTTTACGCGTCCGTCTAGGCTGCATACGTCCAGCCGGCGTTGAAGTGGGGGAGCGCAAATCAGATGGTAGATGCGAGTCTGATACGTGCAGAGGCGTTGGCGGCACAATACCTCCTAGCACCGCGTCGAGCACAAATCGAGGCGGCGTGACTGGTGAAGCTCTCGGATTGTGCGACGTAGGAAGAGAGCCTGGCGGTCTGTGGCGAGGCGTCCGCGACCGTCGGGGAGAGCTCACAGAGCAGGGCGAGCCTGATGACGAGAATGAGCACGACGTGGATCGTGACAAGGAAATCGACATCGGGATCTCTGAGGAAGGAGTTCCTCTGCGCGACTTGAACGCGGTGCTTTTGCGATGGTTCAGGTTGGCGTCGAGGCTGAAGTGGGGCTGAGGTAAATAGAGCGGGCAAGACAGACGTGCTGGAGTCGCTATACAATGTCGGGCCCGGGCGTGGGTGAGACCACAGACACTGTAGGCGCACTGAAAGGCAGGATGCCCTGAGTGCCACCGGGTGGGGCTATGTGGACGGAGCTCGTGGCGTTGAGAAAAGAAACCGAGTGATGGTGGTGACAAGGAAGAAGGGACGCGTCTACGAACGCTGCGAATTGCGGGCCTTGCGGTGGAGTGATAGCACGTTGTGACATGTCAAGCGCGAACGCCGTTGCAGTGATAGAGCACACGGAAGAAGAAAAGTTGCGTCCCACTTGCCATATCCCGCGCACACCAGCGTGGAGCAACACTTTTTGCTACTGCGCACTTCTCCAAGAGCCAAATCCGCAAGGCACAGCGTCAGGCATCAGCACCAGCAGCACCAGCAGCAGAAGACGTTTCGCGTGTCCGGCGCGTGCCTCGCGTGACGCTTCTCGAGCACGCGCGCGCGTCGACCTCGCGCGACTCCCGCCGTGCATGAGTCAGACACGCGCGGAGACAGCATGCATGCGTTGCACCAGCAGCGCAGACGTCGAGTGATATGTGAAGCCCCTGATAGGTACATCGCCTCCCCGCGGCATGAGAACAAGAGATCAACACACACGTACGCGACGTAAAATTTCCCACGCGAGGCCCGCACGCGTATCAAGCCAAGGGGTTGCCGAGACGGGCCGCTTTACATGGTCGGTGACCGTATTCGCATTCAAGTTTTGCATGCCCATCAATCACAATGACGATGCCTGGCAGAAACAAGCGCAGTTGCAACGATCAGTGTGAGTCAGTGGAAACGAGGTCGTCCAGAGAGGAGCCTAGCACTGGCGTCCTGAACCTTAAACACGCGATCGATGTGCGCAGCGAGATAGATAATCGTGCGTCTTGAATGCCATGGACACCTGCTCTTGCATGACTGAGCAATACATGTATGTGTAGCAGAGAAGTTGATAGAAGCACCCCTCTAAGTCACACTCAAATCAGACTCGCCACTCTGGCTGCTCTACGAGGCGAACCGCGCAGCCTTTCGTCTCGGCATGCCTCAGCTAGGGCAGCGGTCTGCAGACACCAATTAGAGGTTCTGCGCTGGCTCTCACCCAATCAATGCTCTGTCTGCACGCCAAGCATCACGCCGGGCACCACAGCAGCGGGCACAGTTGACTGGTGCGTCGAGATGACTCTGAAGCGTGCTGAGGCTACTCAACGGCTCAGCATTTGTGGTACAGAAGAGACGCGATTAGAGTTTGGCACGAGTGACTTGTACCCACAGTCGTGCGTCACGGCGGGAGGGTGATGATCTCTGCCCGAAGCTGACATGCTGCAAGTCCAGTACAACCGGCATGCATAAGATTGCATTCACTCATTGACGTTCGCAATCTGTGAATCGTTGGCGGCGTTTGATTCCCTTGATCGCCCTACTCTCCCACTCGTGACTGTCGACGCGCACACGCATCATGATCGAGTGCCCCTCTAGCTGCCCGAGCTAGCTGCAACACCGGATCGGAGACAACCGCATCGCCGATGACCGTTGTGCTCGACTCGTTACTACTCCTACTATACTGCGTGATTCGTGACTGGTGACTGGTGACTATGACTTCACTCAGGGCCACGTATATACATCGACGTCGGGGGCGAGCGAATGCTGACGGAGGTGCACCAGCTGTGTAGCCGCAGAAATGTTTCGCAATTAACCAGCAGTCACGAGTCAAGATTCAAGATTCGATGTGCTGCGAATTTACCGGTACAGGCCAAGACGCCGGCTTCGCCCCTTCTCGCGCATGCATGATGGCAGCGTGCCTCGCGCCTGGCCGAACTCGCACGCGACGCGTACGATCACGTGATCTTCTTCAGGTTTTCCCTTCATGACGCGCGTCCCCAAGCAGCAAGAATTAAGAATCAAGAACAAGACGAAGCTGGCTCCTTCCTGCATGCTGATCTTTGATCTCAAGATCTTATTGACCCTTGCTCGCTTCTTGACTGTGACTGCTGTCCCAAAAGCTGCACCCTTGGCAAAGCGCGCGAGAAGCATCCATCTCCGGATAGCCAAGAAGGCGATATCACGTAGACTGGTGCCCGCCAAGGCACGACGAAAATGGTGTGGGCTGTGCTCTACGAGCCGGTGGCAAAGCGTACTCCGGGTGAAAGCGAAGCAGACAGGAGGAGGGAATGGGACACTTCTCTAGTCCTGGAGGATCAAGCACATCTGTAGCTCAAGGTGGCAGCGCAAGCAGCGATCGATTCAAGGGCAAAGGTACAGGGAGACTGAGGGACAGACGTCCAGGTACGTTCAGCTGGCCCAGGGGACGCCTTTGCCACTGCCCTTGCCGCGTCGCAAGAATTGGCGAGAAAGAGCACAGATACGACCGTGAGCGCGATCGCGTTGAGCCACTTTTCTTTCCTTGAGATATACCGCTCTTGCATGAGGGCGTGACGACGCTGCAGTGATTGGGACAAATCGGTAGATCTGCGGTAGTCCTATGCCGGTGCCTGATGGCACTCGGAGCGTGGCTGTAGGGCTTGTCCGCTAGGTAACTATGGCCCATTCGATGGGTCGTGCGAATCACGCTGGTCCGCAGTCAGAACACCTTGTCTCGGCGAGGTGCTGTGTCTCAATTCGTTCCTTTTGATGAGCCTTACATTCGCTTCAAGCGCTCCGAAGGGCGTCATCATTCGTCCAGGATAATGTATGAAAGAGTCAGCTTTGCCTTGTATAGATGCTCATCTTTTGTCACAGGTCTGACAGATAGCCTCACAAAAAGCGCGATCAAGCAGCGAGCTGGATTTGACAAGCATGTGCAGTAATCAGCAGCGGTAGTACTCGGCGAAAGGTGCACTGCATGCACGCTTGCGGTCGAGTCAATGCATGGGCACAGCCACACAATTGTCCCCATCAGCGAGGTTGAGGTCGCCGAATTGTGGCACTGACGAATGCACTCATTCGTGATTGACTCAAACCGGTACGACTTGTAGCTCAAAGTCAGTTTCAGTGCTAAGTCACGCAAGGACCGGGCGGCGCACATTCCGCTGATGACGATGTATGATTGTCACACACGATCGATGCGCGTGGTATGCCCACCTGGGTCAGAAGCTCTCATCTAATGAGCCCCTGCTGCTGCTGCTGCTGATGTGCAATGCTCTACCGGTGATGTTGAAGAGACGGAATAGGCGGGTATCAAGTAGCTGAGGACCCTGCTGGAAGTGCAACGAGACAGAAATCACAATCACGAATCAAGATGCGGATGCGTCATGTGCGTCATGTGATGCATGGTATCGACGACGCGTGCTGTGAAGCCGCTGCGCTATGCCGCCGGCTGATGTGCGCCAAGCCCGACCGACGTGCGACGCGGAGCTGGATCTGCTTAATTCGAGCTCGCCGTTAAGCACACCATGCGGCTAGCATGCAATCTTGAATACCTATACCGCAACCAGTCGGGAGTGTGAGTCGTAGATTATAGCAACCATCATGCGTTGCTCACCGCGGCCAGCAGCAAGCAGCATCCATGCATCCATGCAGAACACAGACACCCTCATCAGCATGCACATATGTGCACCTCCTACACAAGACTCAGAAGCTGTGGTGCTTAAGACCGAGATGAGGGACAGGCGACGCTGTCGATCTCGAATCCTTTGCAGTCGTGAGTCTTGAGTCTGAGCATCGGCGTTGATGATTCAAATATTGTGAAATGCGAGATCGCGTGAAAAGTAAGCTTGCTTTATTAGCCTCTCAACTTCGGCGCCGACCCCAAAGCATTCGCGATTCGATTCGATCGTTTGACTACCTACAGCAACTTATTAACAGAAGCTACCGCCTGCGAGGGGCAAGTCTTGCAGCATTCATCACAACAGCTCACGCGAATCTGACGGTCCCTGACCTCGGTCATAAGCCAATGTTTGGTCTCACTTGTGCTATCTCTCATCACACCCATGCACACACGCGCGCCCCTTGAGCATTGCTCTCCGTCGATCGAAACTGCCCATCGCAAGAACCGGCAGCCAGTCAGGACACGTGTCATCTCATCTTCGACTCACGTTGGGCACATCAATTGACCGCAGCTACCACCACTACTACTACCACTGCAAACACGAATCGTACGAGGGCAGCAATCGATGAATCAAGCCATGCGCCAAGCCGCAAAAAATGCCACTCATTGCTCGGGCACATGAACGCCGAGTCGAGCGAGCACTGGAACGCCGCGCCTGTGCAGCCCGAGGAATTGTTCGATCGTGATGCGTGATCGACATGCAATCGCGAAGTGTCTGCTGATGACACCTAATCAGCTGGCTCTGCATGGCCTTTACGGCCGTTGCAGGCTTCTACACCCTCTGCATCGTCAGCGCAAGCACACGAAGCGTCCATCGCCAATCACCGAGGCAAGCTAAATTTCACCTAATGGCAGGCAGCAGCTGGGCATGGGCATGGGCATGGGCATGGGCATGTGTGGAAGTGCGATCAGGCGCCAAGCAGTAAATGTTCCGCGGACTAGCGGTGCGCGTCCAGTCGAGCCCCATTCAGCGTTACAGCCAAGTCCTTGGCCCAATCGATCATTGCACCCTGGACGCCCAAGCCGCGTGCCACTTGGGGCTGTTCTTTCTGGACGTGGTTTGTCTCGGACACAGCCTCGACGCGTATCTTTTCATCCTTCATAGTTGCATGGCAAGTGAGCAGCTCCAGCAAATGCATCACATCGCCGCTTGCTCGAGATCCAGCGTTGCGATGTGGCTAGCCGTGTACAGCTGCTCCTTTTCACATCTGTGCCCAGCTTTGTTGAGGCTCGACACACACATCAGACTCACTTATAAGTCCAAGCTGCGCCCTCGTCTCCCGTGTTCTCCACCCAAAGATCCCTTCGTGCAGCGTGCCTTCTTTCAGCTGCGCGATCTTCAATGATATTATCCGCCCCTTACCTTTCTCCGCAGAGATAAACGATCGCATCCAGACCTTCATCATCATGGGTTCTATGGAGCTCCCTCCCGATGTGCTGGCAGAGTATATGGCCTGGAACGCCCTGCAGCAAGACAAGGCCAAGCGATTCCAAGCGCTGTTCGTTGGCTTGCTCGGAGCAGCTATGCTAGTCAAGTGAGTGGTCCCGCAACCATTCCATCAACTCACAGCTGACCAATGACTGTCTCGCCGTGCAGTCTACTAAGCTATCTGGACCATCATTTGGACATCAAGCGAGCGGAGAGAGCTGCGAAGACGGTCGAAAGTGCCTCATCTGGCGACGAGCGCGAGATGGCATCAATCAGCACGATCGAAAAATTTCTCAGAGCTAGTATAGCTGCCTACCACAAGTACCTTGTCTGCACCTCGGTGCCGATCTGGCACATGAGCATGATGGAACTGCTGATCATCATCAGCTACGCCGCGTGCATGTTTGGCATCCTCTTTGGAGACGGTGAGAGAGGAGCTTCGTCAGCGTCTTTGTTGGTACGTGCAGAGCACTGACTGGCTTCATCTGTTGTATGATTGGCAGCGCCCGATTTGAAACGCCCAGCGTACAGTCCTGGATGGAGCAATCGGGCAGGCATCATGGTGTTCGCATCTCTGCCATGGGTAGGTTGAGGGGACACGCTCCCCTCCCCTCCCCGCCGTCAAGCCAATCAACCGACAAGCTTACCTTCCTTGCCTCTCCAGGTGGTCCTTCTGGCCGGCAAAAACAGCCCGATAATACTCTTGACCGGTCTGCCATATGAGCGTCTGAACATCTTTCACAGGTACGCTGGACGGCTCACCGTTGTCCTTGCGTTGATCCATGGAGGTCAGAAGATGTCGGCAATCGGTGGCGCTGGCCTGTCGATGCCTTTCCTGCGCTGGGGAGTGGCGGGCTTGAGCATGACCGTTGCCCTTCTCTGCACCTCTCACCGCTGGTCCATGCGCGCATCGTATGAAGTCTGGTATGCACTGCATTTCTTGCTTGCTGTGTGAGTCTACGGCGCACGGCAGACAAGCGTCGAGGTTCTCTGATGCGAGAACCCCTTGGCATCCTCAGGGGACTACTCACGTCGTTGTGGTACCACATGCCGTCTCAACGAAACTGGCTTGTAAGTCACTTGGGCCGCGTGCGTATTTTAGAAGACTTACTCATACTGTGAGCCTTCGCCTTCCAGTACGCAACGGTCGCTTTTTGGTGCTTTGAGCGCGCTGCGCGTCTCTTTCGTATCGTGATGTTCAACGACCTATTGCGTCTTCGCACCTCTCAGACTCAGCCCGTGCACGTCGAGATCATTTCATCGAACATGTTGCGAGTCACTGTCCAGAAGGTGAGCGCAGTGTTCCTGATGCCGTGGTCACGGAAGCTGACTGCTTTGGCGCTGCATGGACGAACAGAGAGATTTCCCAGCATGGACGCCAGGGTCTCACGCCTACCTCCACGTCCCCTTCATGAGCTTGTTCACGATCTGGCCGCAAAGCCATCCCTTCACCATCGCTTCCATACCTGCCTCTAGTCATGCCGCCTTTCACAACGCGGAAGAGAGCTCGGCTTCGACACTCGCTGATCACCACAGCTCAACTCCTAATGACGAGTCTACAGGGGGAAGCAATGCGAATTCCATCGCCCTCGAAGTGCTCGACAGCGCCGAAAAACGGCGACAGAAATCGCCCGCTTTCTCACTTTCGAATGGCCAGCTCACCTTCTTCATACGAGCGCGAGCGGGCTGGACGCTGCAGCTGTACAAGTACGTCGCGTCTCACGGTGGACTCGACAAGACCTTGCTTCTCGACGGTCCTTACTCAGGAGCACCGCCTATCACTGCGGCTTACGAAACCGTTGTATTTTTTGCTGGTCAGTATTTGCGAGATGCTACAAGCGTTTCGAGTAAGCTGACATTGTATCCCCTTCTCTTGACCTTGAGCAGGAGGCAGCGGTGTCACTTGGACAAGTACGTGTTCTCCGTGCAGTGACTGCCAATGACGCGTCTCCGCTGAGCGTATGCGACCCTCTTCCTTCCACAGCTACCATGCTGCTCGGCCTGCTGGAACAAGCGTATCGAGAACCGGCCAAGGTATCAGTCCGCCGTGTCGTGTGGATATGGAGTCTGCGAGGTGAGTCGCTGCGACCTGTTCCGTGAAGCATTTTACGCATCGTGCTAAAATTAACGCTAATCTCCTTGATCTACAGCGGACGAGCAAGCATTGGCGCAAGCTTTGATTCGCAACATTCCTGAGCCGCCGTCGCAGATCGACCTAGACATTCGGCTTCATATGACCGGCAAGCTCGATGGGCCACTTCCCCTCCGGATTCTCGGTGCTCCCGTTGCTTTCGCCAGACCCGACGTCGAAGCTGCGCTTCACGACGTTATCCAAGATGCGCGAGGGAGAGTATGGGTGGGGGCTTCCGGACCTGTCGGGCTCATCGATGCTGTGCGTCGCTCGGCTCGTCGCGCAGTGCAACCAGGCAAGGTCCTTCGAGGACAAATGGACGGTCAGATCACCCTTCATTTGGGTGAGTCGTGGAGTCTCGCATGTGTGCAACGTCTTCCATTCCTCATCTCGAGCAATGTTTGCCCCGCCTTTTGGACAGAGAAATTTGGCTGGTAGCTATTACGAATCCTCTGGGGCTTCCGCCAAAAATTTAGACGAAAAGTCAAGCTCTCACCAGATCGGCCTGATGTCGCACCAAGCTTGGGCCTGCGACACATCCACGCTGCTTACGAAACGTAGATACTTCACTCGACTCGCAATTGATAACCATAGAGCTTTGTATTGAGCACATTTGCATTTGTGCATTTGCTTTATTCAGACTGATAGAGGCGATTGATCTGACATACATGAGCTGTTGAAGAGCTGAGGTAGAGGATAGAGGGGCGGGAAGAAGGAGGAGGGGCAGAAGCCTGAGGAAATTGCGAACACTGCTGGTAGGCGCGTGAAGAGCGATGTCGAAGAAAATCGGCGTACCTGTCGACTAGCGGATGGTCTGGCTTTTGAAGGGTGGTGACGCAATGTAGAAGGAAGGGTATGGTTGGCTGCACGCAGCGCTTGCAGAGGATGACAAACCGCATCTCTTGTTGAAAATTTTTGATGAGGAGAATTCTTGATCAAGAGTTGATGGATTGTGACGGTGACAGAAAGACCAAGTAATGGAGATTCTGGGTTGATCTATCGTGTTGGGCACAGATTGGTGTGGTGTGGGAGAGAGAGGAGCTTCGGCGAGGACCTGAGTAAGTCGCCCATGCAGCGTCCTGCGCCGAGAGACTGGGAGCTAGTCAGTGGCGTCCATTCATTACCAGTTGCCTGATCACGGGGGCCGAGGCTGTTGGGAGCGAGCTGATTGGCCCGCTCCGCTCGAAAGGAGCAGAGGCTGATCTCGCAGAGTTGCTGGCTGTGCGGAGAGATCCCTCGACCTTCCAGCAGCATCTTCAAAGCGCTCCAGTCTTTCGGTAAGGAAGCGGACCTGAGAATCTAGCAACATGATGTGACGATTTTGATCCTCTTCGGTCTGGCGCGACATCGCTAGCTCCGCAGTGAGATGGAGAAGCTCCTTCTCCACGAAGCTCGAGTGTCGGATGATGGCGTCTACGCGCTCCGAGACATCACCTATGCGACTTGCGACTAGATTGAGATCTATGCTTGACATTGAGTCCTCTGCGGGTCCTGCGCGCGGCACTTGGCCTTCAATGCCTGAGGAGCGGTACGCAGGGCCAGCAGATTCTTGCGCGCCTTGCTGCGCTTGACCATACGTCTGGGAGTCTGAGCGGTGCCGTACCGCGCGCTGCGGCATTTGCTCTCGGCTATGTGCTGTGACGCGAGCTGCCTCTCCTTGCCTATCGTAAAAGCGTAGTCCTAGACTCAACGTCTCCGGCAAGGAATTCGACATCGGCATCTCAGGTGACGAGGTGGGACTATCCATATCTTGCTGCACACCTTCGTCTGCGCGATACACATTCGAGCCGTCGTAGTCTCCAATGGGTATGCCAGACGCTAAAGCAGCTGCTGCAAGGCCCCGTGACTGAGAGTCAGAATTTCGGTGTCGAGCGGCTTTACGTTTGATGTCGGCTAGAGCTTGCACATCGCCACGTCGAAACAGGCTGTGTTTGAACTCCCAGACCTGCACCTCATCATTGGGATTGCCCTGGAAAGTGTGATTGACTTTGTGAAACCCGCTGGGGCAAAGAGAAGCGCATTCAGGGTCGAAAAAAGTCGTTTGAGATGCGTGGGCTCGCAGCATAATGCACTCACTACATATTGAGTTGCCGAACGAATGATTGCCAATTAGAGTGCTTGAACCAATTCGGGAGTATCAATCTGCGAAGTATGGGGCTCAAGTCAGGCTTCACTTGCAGCACTACTGGGCCAAACCAGCTTCGAGACTCACCTAGAGAACTCTGATGGATTTGCAACGCTGAATGCCGTTCCATCAGGTATCCAATCGATCATATCGCTGATCGAACGGTCCTCAAGCATTCTGGAATATTCATGCCCTGTCAGAGCTCACAGCCATGCGAGAGCGTTAAAGCGAGATCTCATCAGCAACTCACGCATACAACTTGCTGACGAAGCTTTGCTGTTGTTTGCTGGACATCGCAGAGGCAAAGGCGTGAGGCATACTGGATGGACCGGCGGAGTCGGAAGCGTGTCCTGAGCCCGGCGTCGCATGCGAGTGTGCCAAGCTAAAATCGCTCCTTCCGGCCGGCGTGGGCGCGACGCTGGAAGTGGCGCGTGGCCGGCCCATTGCAGTGTTCCGCGACGTGGGGCTCTTGGGCACAGGGAGCTGTCGCGGTCTGTACGGATCGGGACCTTGACGATCTGACTTTGATAAAAATGCTTGATAGGGAAATCCCGAAGCCGGATGAGGCAGGACAATGCGTGGACTGCCCGTTGCTCCCGGGTGCATTGCTGCACTGGAGTAAGCAGGGTGCTGCCGCTGCTGCATATCTGGACTCGGGCCTCGATAGCCGCGAAAAGTAGGCATCAAGGAGGGCGACTCCTCAGCGCGGCTGTTCGGTAGTCGTGCTTCGCCGGTGAGACTATCGATGTGCATGAACCGATTGTTGCGCACGCTTGCAGACGAGGTGGCGTCTCGATCTCCCCGTCTCTGTGTCCCGCGGACTTGATCATGATCACCATGAAGAAAGGCCTCGCGTGGCTCCCTCGAAGGAGGCAAAAGCCCTTCCGTACCAGGAGAGCGTGACCTTCGCAATGGCAACGGCAGCTCAGCATTGAGTGGAGCTTGCGAGCGCAATGACCGGCCCTCCAAAGAACGTGGCGACCTTGAAGATGCGCTTGTGCGGTAGCGATCCGAGACACTTTCTGATCGTACGGGTGGCAGTATGGGCGCACGTGTATCCCGGGGATCTTCGCCTCTGCGCTTTGCGCTCCCCGCTCTGCCACTGCTCGCAAGCTCTGCTCGTCCAGAGTCCCGTGAACGCATGACAGTGCCACTGCCAGGGCCTCGATGGGATGTTGCGCTCGAGGCGCCGCTCATGCCATCATCTGAGGCGAGGCTGCCGGGCGGAGAGCGCTTGTACTGACGAAATGGAAGATCGCGCAACATTGGACTTGGCGGTGCGGCGGTGGCTGGTACAGCAGAGTCTATTCGCTGATCGTCCAACATGCGCTCCGGCTCGAGCCCCGAAGTGGGACTCCCAAGCACCGCCGAGCTTCGCGAAGCATCCATCTTGCGCGAGGTTGCTTCGGACGACCCACGTCTGCGACCATTCAAATCAGTTGGTGATGGGGTATCAACCCTATCCCGTTCCGGGTGCTTGTGGTCTTGATCAAGTGCACTTTAAGAGGCCTGTGCAGCAGCATTCGGTGTATCGCTGCTCATGTTTGATAGTGATGATACTGTGCGCTGTTTCGGGTACCAGTGACGGCGCAAGAAGACGACAGCAGCTGAGCGTATTGCTGTCACCTGCTTTGCTGCCTGCCTCGCGTTCTGGTAGCGAAGAACACCTTACGCACACGTCTTGAAGGCGGTGTCGGTCCCTGAGACGGTGTGTCGACGCTGTGAGTCGCACGCGTGGGAGAAGAATTGTTCAAAAGTGTGTCAGCACATTCCTGCCCGCTCAAGCTGAAGCCCCGCTCGCGCAAAAATTTCTGATATCGCACTGAGACGCAAGCAGGCAGGCAAGAACGTATGGTGTGGGATCGAGACCTGTGTTCGCGTTGCCGCCTTGTTCGGCAGCACGCGAGGTATAGTGCTAATTGGAAGTCGAGAAAGAAACCTGAAAGGCATTTTCGAACAGCAGAACCAACGACGGCGACAGCACCAAAACCCCGTGGCTTTCCGCGGCCCGGAAGATGGAGCCGAAATGTCGCTGTGTCATCATTCAAGTATTGAACCTTACGCCGATCGACCGCCCAGTGCGTAAGGAAAGAATCAAGCTGACCATCCTCGCGACACAAGCGCCAGCGCGGTGAAGCCGAGAAACTTTCCCGCCCTCCTTTCGGCAATCTCCCATCGTTCAATTCCAGCAGACAGAAGAGAAAGCAAGGTTGTACCGCAAAGCTTCTCTCTTCCCGAGAGAGATGTCTACGCCTGCGGTAGCCTGGCGGACACGACGAAGAAGCCACTCCAATCCGATCCCACCGCGCTTTGGCGGTTGCATTGACGAGCGCTTGCTCGTCTAGCACCCGTGCGTGACCTCAAAGCCCGTCGTTGATCCCAAGCAACGGCCTCTGTTGACATACGGATGCATCGTCTCTACGCTCGGTGGCCGCGCAGCCAGCTGTCTCGTCTACTGCGCTACCGTTCGCCCTATGTCGACCGACCATCCTTGATGATACGTGACTCCTCGTCCTGGCGACCGCAAGAGTCTGTATGCCTGCCGCTACATGCGATAAGGTTCACCCAATTGACGAAGCCTTTTCCCATTCGTCGACTTTAGTAGTCGGCGGACTTTTGACGACTAAGTGCGCGGGGATGTCGCCGCGACTGCATCACCGCCAACCAATGAAGGCGAAAGTGCAATCTTGGCGATAGCGACGAGCCCTGCACCACCATCCCTCCTCAGGTGGGCGCCGCCACCTGTCGCCACACATCACCGGCCGGCTTATCCAGCACCGCCTTTTTTTTTCGCAGCTTGGCGCAGACATGTACAAGCTGTCCGCCCTCCTCCACCTGGCTGTGCAGCAATTAAGCCGAGAGCCAATTTCGGGATGGACACGGACGCGATTTCCGCAGGCAGTTGGAGTGTAATCGATCGTGAATGCGCGGTCTCCGTTCCGTGGCTTCCTTTGCAAGTGCCAAACACTTCTGACCAGACGCGCATTGGCTCACTCGCAAAGCCACGCGCCAAAGCAGGAGCATCGCTAGTGTGAAGCCCAAAGGCATCAACCCAGAACGCCGTGTGCACCCAACTTTCGAGTGGAGCACTGTTCAGATGGTGACGGCTTCTCGAGAGTTCGCCGCGCTATGAGCAAGTCAAAGCGGGGAAAGATCGCAACGCCCAGGTTTGCCTTGGGATGCGATTGCTTTGGGAGCTTGTCGATGCGTAGCACTGTGGTGCATCTCGAAAGGGGACCTCGAATCCGGGCTGCGCGAACTCCGGGCACTGCGTGGCGCGCACTGACGTTCGATCACGAACGGCTCAGATCGAAGCTTGACTTTGCGCGGACTCACCTTGGACGATTGCGGCTGGCGAGGGAACGTGTAGGTGGTGGCAATGGCTCCAAGGGCAAATCGTTGTCCCAGCCGCGCGTTTACGAGATGCTGCTTCGGAGATCTACAGGGGATCGAGATTCAAGCGTCGTCGAGTGGCGATGAAGACGAGAAGTTGGCGTGTTGACCAAGGCAAAGTAAAGATTGCGGTTGCAAGGGTGTGCCGTGGCAGTGATTGCGCGTGCAGTGTCGCTAGAGTGGACAGACGCTTCCCGTAAAACGTCGTTGGGGCTTCGAGGAAAGGGCAATCGTGAATGGCGAGGAGCTGTAGATCTGGGTGCTGATCGAAGTGAACTACTGAGCAGGAAGCTTGAATGATTTCGTGCTCTAGAGTGCAGAGTAGTCCAAGTAGTCCAGTATCATAACAATGTCGAAGAGTTGGCGATGGCATTCGCGGCGTACAGCCCAAAGACAAACTCCTTCGATCGTGTGTGGAAGAGGGCGATGGACAGCTGAAGCCGCAAATAGCGGGGGCCTCCGAGAAACTCCGAAGGGATCGGCCTGCGAAGGGGCATTCGGGACAGAGACAGGCGACAAAGAGGGGTGAGGCCCGAGCAGGCAGAGGCGACGAGTGCTGTGGAGTTTGAGCGCAAAGGTGCCAAAAGCCGTTAACGCTTGCTGAAGGTGCGCGCCGGTGCCGTGCGCTTGTTGGACGAGTCGAGGCCTGACAACGGTCCAATGTCAAGGATTGTAGCAAGAGGGTGTGCCAGAGCGTCGAGGACGAGGATTGGAAATGCAGCACATGGAGACACTGCAAGCAGGTGGCGAGGGAACTGAGCTCGCCTCCGACACGGACCGCTGACGCAGCGTGCAAAGCTTTTCTGTCGCAAGTCACCGGTCGCGAACACCTGATTTTGTCTCGTCTAGAAATGTGTTGAGGTATGTTACTTGTAGCAGGGTCTGGGCGCGCTGCTGCGAATTGGTCCACCGCTGTGCAGGGCCTGAAGGGTCACGAAGATCGCGCACGACAACACAGACCAGAAGTTGCAGTGGGGGCGGTTGCGGTTGGAATGATGAGTTCTGATCAACAATTCCGGGCGGAGCGGCAGTGCAAACAGTGCATTTGTGCGGACACGCTGGATAAAGTATAGAGCTCATGGAAGGAGTGCTTAGTTGCACTGCCCCAAGCGTCTAGAACGTTTCCAGAACGGCGTCACAAAATTTTGAGATGGGGCATGCCACTCAGCACGAAAGTTTGTTTTCCCCGAGCGTGATGTTAGACTCACAGTCGTGCATATACAATCCACACAAAGCGAGACGTTTGGGCAATGCGACCAGACGCGTCCCTTCAAGATACTGGGCGGCGACGTCTTGTGCAATCAGGGATCAAAAAGGTCAGAGTCGGGGCAAAGCCAGAAGGGGGAAGGGGCAGCAGCTCCAGGCGCAACAAAGTGCCAGAGTCTAGGCAGGCACCGCACTCACTGTGTCGCTAAATCAACGCACCGGAAGGGCTTTCAACCCGAAACGAGCGGCTAAACTGAGGTCAATCGTGAGTTATAGGGTCTAGCGCACCAAGGTGGCACGGGAGAGGTAGGGCAAGCCTTGGGAGAAGACTGTTAAAGCCCAAGTGGATGGACGCAGCGGTAACGAGCAGAATCGCTCAAAGCTTTGTCGACTGCTTGGAACGCAGCCAGGAGGGTTGCCCCGCAACTTGTCTAACACCTAGCTCCGCAAAATGTAAGTGACAGGCAGCACTTGATACGGTACGAAGAAGGCACAAAGTCCGCCTTGGCGAGCGCTTTGTAAGATGAAAGCAGAGCACTCGCGCCTTCCCTGTCGACGGTCTTCTTTCCATGGGCCTACATGACGGGTCAACGCCCTTTGGGGTGGGGTGGAAGGGTGCAGCACACTTCTCGCGTACTGGAGACGCGCCACAGAGAGCGTGCAACTTCTTTACCTGCAGAATCGATGCACTACATGTCCCGTACGCATGACAACGGATCAAAGGTCACGAAATCAGCAGATTTTGTTCCTTGCCGAACAGTAACGAGTACACTGGCCTGGATTCACGATCTTTGAGCGGCGCCTCTTGGACAGGGCTGCGCGCTGTTGCTGAGCGGCTGGCAAGAAAGCTGGATCTATCCCCACCGACAAAGGTGCGAATGGGACGGACTGCGACGGTCTGGCGCGAGAGAAGCTCGACGAGAGTCTGAGCAACCTCGAGCCGTACCCGATACCGCGCTGCCCAAGCGCTCGTGATGAGGAAATGGTGATGAGGAAAGTCTCAAACTGTTGACTGGACATTCGGGCCCATCGTCTCGGTGCTCATCAGTCAGTGCGCTGAGCACACAGTACTGATCTAGATCGACGGGGCGACGGACGTACAGGGTGTTGTCTGATTGCGCTATGAGGACAGCTCCGGCGGCGTTCGCTGCCCAGGAAGATCCAGCGCATGGCACTCGTGACTGTTTGGGCCCACCAGTCACAGTCACGAGTGCAGGTTGCGGGAGCTGGGTGCCGCGGATGACGCTAGGGACCAACCTCTGCATCTGGCTCTCCGATCACAGAATCAAACGCGACGTCATCTATAGTGCGCGTCTTTACTGCAGTGTCCGCGGCAATCGCGTACTGTAGCTAGCTTGGCGTCTACGCCGACAGGCTAACGGCATCAATTATTCCTCGACGCTATGTGCAATCATCAAAACCTTGAATGTTGTGAATGTCAAGTTCGACAGTCGTCTGCCTGGAATGCACTTTCTCGCTCTACGACTCACATCGTGGTTGCGATCCCAGCAATAGCATCTATAGGCGTAAAACTTCCGAAAACCTGCATGCGCCTTCTCTTCTGTGTGACTCGTTGAATGCGCGGAGGCCATGCTACCGTGGCCATCGCGAGTCAAGTCTCCACCGCGCGGCGAGGCGTGCACGATGCCGCGACGTGCTCAGACTGTAGATGATTGTTGCGACCGACAGCAGGCTGAACGGTCGCCCGGTCGCAGGCGCCAACCACCAATAGGAGTTTCGAAGAGTCCTCGCTGTCAACTGACGTTTGGCCGCCGCAAGCTGGAAGTTGGTCAGTCTCTGTTCCGCAATCCGCGTTGGCTCCCGCAACCTTGTGTCACTAATCTTGGTCTGCCGCGCAGCGGCTCAATCCCGTCGAGGAAGCGAGCTTAGGTGGCGACACTACTAATTCACAGTGGTGTGAGCTGCTGCCCACTATCGCTCTTACACCCACGATTACCGGATGACAGGGCACCGCTCGAGTTCTCTCCATAGACTTCCTGCAAGGGGGATTGCGACGCGTCCGATGTGTGCTGCTGCCACGTCGATTCAGAGAAAGGGCATTTCCAGCTGCACGATCAGGAATAAGATGCGTACACATAGCCTGCTTGCTGCGACCAAATTCCCGATCACTTCGAACAGGCTGGGACTCGCGGCGTGTGGACGAAGTAAGTCCATACGGTTCAAATGCTGCTTGTCAAGGCTGCAGAGGAGGCGGACTTGAAGGGCTTCGCTTCGCCGCTCACATGCATGAGCGCGCTTGGCTAGCGGCTGTCGAGACGATCGGGCTAAGCATCAAACGTGCATGCACCACGTTCTGAATACGCAACAAGCAGAACCAGTACCGGTACTGCGCGGTACCTCTGGTGCCAAACATCCAAGCAATCGTGCGACGCCAGCACAGCCGTAGCAGCGCGGGCCCAATCAGAACTCCGTTTTCCGCTCGTCTGATAAAGCAGCCCCACTGACCTGGTGGACGGTGCTGCCAAAAGCGGGCGCAACTGCCGGTGGCACTCATCTAGTCCAAGGGCAGGCCGGAGAATTACTCGCTGTAGGTACCGGCGCTTAGCCGCCAGCTTCTTACGAATACTCCGACTCATGCAGGGAATTGATTGGGCGCGTGGCTCGTTTATGCTGGAGGGAGGCCGATAGATCTCGTTTTTTCACCTCGCTTACCATGCCGTGCTCTGCATTGCAACCACGCCTTGCCTCGCTGGTGGTCGTTTCGGTTCCATCAGTACCGGGTCCGAGAACGAATCAGCTGTGGCGAGCGAAGCAGAAAGTTCGTGTGGGAACGGCAAGCAGCCGAGGCGACAAGTGCCGCAACTTGTGCAGGTGGACGACGCTTGCTGACAGCAACTTTCGCGCTCCTTGCGCGGAAAAGGCCCAGACAACGACTCAGAACCACATCGCTGCCTTCCAGGAGGCCTCTCTAGTAGCGCACTTGGCGGAGCGTGGCGGCGCTCTCGGCCAGGTAGCGAGTGGCTCTTGGTTCGAGTCTACGTCGAGCGCTCCTGTAATGCCCAGCCAGCATTTTCATCTTTAGCTCGCGCAAGACGGTGCCATAGTGACCCACGCGCGTAGAGAGCACTGAATGAAAGGCATGGAGCCCCAACCTGAGCCCGGGAGATGGTGACAGCCAGTGTAAATGAGTCACTATGCACTGTGATGTCTTTGGTCACATAATGGCACTGATTGCTCACCATTGCACATGCAGAGCCTCTAGTCTTGAGGTCGAACCGGGATGCAAAACCTTCGCTGCAGCCCGCGCCGCCAGTACGATCTCATTGTACATCGTCCTCGTCGCTTTGTTGAGCACGTCTAAAGCACGCCTAGTACAAATCAGCTGAGGCGCACGCTGATTCATCTCATCCATACTCACGGAGACAAAGTCGCGCTCGATCAGCAGGCGCCTGGCCTTTGAGGGTTTTCAAGTAGGCGACCAACTTCATCGCAGCGACCAGGAATCCTTCGTAAATGTTCTGATGTACGACCACGTGCGGATTGAGATCTGTGTCGTTGTAAATGATATGCGCACGGCTTTTCAAAGCTCTGCGACGAGTGATCTAAGTACATCAGAGTTGCATCGTGGGCGTTGCAAGCTCCGCCCTACTCACTGCTTGGTTTTCTGGGCGAGAGTGATGCCTGGTCTGCGGCCTTGCTCAACAGTGAGCGTGTCTCCGATCTCTGCACCCAAATGACGATTGCGTGTGAGGTCAGTGCAACCTCCACGGCAACCCAATGAATGAATGCGCTGTTGTCGGATACTCACGCATCGCGGCGTAGCGTGATAAATCCGTCCTTACGGACAGTATCTTGGAGTTGATCAAGATGCCGCACCATGGAAAGAAGTCCGTGTGAGTTCTGGGAACGAAGGCGCCAGTGCCGCTGACGCTTAGATCAAAATTGGCCAAGGTTTTGTCAGGGGAAATGCTAGAACCGTAGTCGGGGTAGCCGCGCTCCATGGTGTGAAAGAAATGTGTGGCTCGGCGCTTAGATGTAGAGATGAACAAGAAGTCATCAACATATCTGATGAGCAGGCATCCAGGCTTTTGGGTGAACGCAAGCTTCTCCTTCTCTAGTTGTGCAAGATAGAAGCAACAGAGCATCGTAGATAGACTCGATCCTTGAGGGATGCCAACGCGTTGACGGTAGAAGTCTCTGCCAATCTTGACTAGGTTGTCATTGACGTGCTGGTCCAGCAAATGAAGTAGATCCACTCGATCCTCATAGGGGTAGTTTACCGAGTCAGCCAAGACGGCATTGCGTAATGAGCGCGCAATTTCTTCGGCAAGGCTCGCAAAGCTGCCTTGCTGCGCTTCGGGGCAAGCACGCCGAACGAATGTCTTCTTGGCCTTGCCAGCGGCGCTGACCATCTGTGTAAATCTTTGAATGACGTAGCCATCCTGAGACAAGGTACGGTCCTCTCAGCGAATGAGCACGGATCAGGCTACTCGATCATACACGCACTTGATCACGAAGAAGGTATTTGACGATGGCCATCAACTTATCTTGCACAATCGTGTCGAAAGCGGCCACAATGTCGACTTTCACGAAATAAAGACGCGAGCCATTCTTTTTGAGGCGATCGCGGACGGTAGGCGCAAAGTCCTTGAGGCGTTTGTAGATGTCGTTCAGCCCGAAAACGGACGCCCCGAGCATGTGTGGCTGTGATGTTCTCTCATGAGTGAGAATTTGGAATGCATTCTGCATGACCGAGTTGATGCTCCGGCCCAGTGTAGCGTCCCCGCTGTTGCTTGAGGCGCTATTGTTAGAGCCAGCCACGCGGCGCAGCGAGCGACGTCTCAAGTTGACGATGGGTCGAACGCCCGTCTCCTTGGGCAGAAATCTGATGTGAGAATAGCCCAATTTGCGTTCCAAGATCGTGGCCAGAGCTTCTGTTCGGGGTACAGGTTCAAAAGTGGTGCCCTTGAGTCTGTTCAAGAGTGGTGCGCATACAATCGCCCAGTCATCTTGGCGAAAGTACAGAACGCGATTGCGGTAGGCAGCAGCTTCCGTGACGTAGAATGTTGTGCGCAGCAGGGGCATGACGAGACTATCAACCACGTAAAAGAGTACCTCAGCCAAGAGACTTTCACGTCTCGCATGTTCAGCAGCTGTACAGCGCTGGGCGCTTGCTCGGAGGCTTGGGGTCTGGAGCCAAGTGACGTCATTAAGGCGCAAACCGTCAAGAAGCTGATGCATGTTTACGCTTTCGTACCGCCTTGCGTGCACGAATTGTCGCACAGCTAGGAGCGGGAAGCGAGGAGTGAGCAAGAGGTCGCTTGGAGTTCTCCGCAATGCAACTCACCCCTCTGAAATTTTCCATAGTTGAGTCTTGAACCGAGTAGATCGATCGGCACAGTACTTCGTATGACTGCACACACGTAGCGAGCAACTTGGCCAGTGGGCTGTGCATACCTTATGAAGCGGGGCTTGTCTCTAGCTTGCGTGGCGACCTGCATCGATATCTGGTCCAGATGTTCGCGTGACTGGGGCGCTCCCGAAGCTGGTTCAAGATCATCTTCATGTGCTTGCGTTGTCGGTGGCAGTTGCGATGAGGAGGCCGTTGGGCCAAGAGATCCACCTCTAGCAAATTGCGAGCTGCCTGGCAGCTCGGCCATGTTGAACTGCAGGCGAAAGTCAGGAGTTGCTGACCTGACCCCGCAATTTCAATTCACTCACAGCGATTTCGTCCCGATCGTGCTCGGTAAGTCGCCGACGCGGTAGAAGGCTTCGGCACATGATGTCTGACATCCGGCGATAATCCAGTCGGTCGTGTTTGTGCAGCATGATCGCTATTAGATGACGAGCTTTCTTGAGCCGCAGAGGTGTCTTGATTTGACCCTTTGCCTGCGCATGGAAAAACACGACAATTCAATGCAATGATTCTAAAAGCGAAGCCAGTGTATTCTCACCGCAATTTCAACGTCCCGATTACCGTACTCCTGGAAAGGCTGACTGGTCTTTTTCCAGTCTCTGCTGCTGGTAAACACATTGTGCAAGCCGTACTCCAGCGGCCAGACATGCTTCATCACATGTTGAACACGCATCAGCTTGTGTTTCTTGCTCTCTGCGAGCGTGAGCGGTCCGAGCTGGGTTGCATGTTTGTGCGCGCTCCCATCCGCAGGAATGGGGCTCGCGGAGCTTCCTCGCTTTGACGGATGTTTGCGCAAAGCTTTGAGGAGATCCGCCACGCTGGCGGTGCGATTGAAGACATCTAGCCGGACGAACACGCGTTGATTCTCAGAAAAGCCGCAAGCGGTACGCATCAGCGCTATCCGGGCACTGCTCACGATTGATGGGCAAGCCGACCGCTATGCGTCCTGCTCTCGTCCGGATCGGCCGAGCGTAGAATATACGAGAGCGTACAAATGTGATCTCTGTGTGCTTCCGTCTAGCATAGAGAAGCAGTGTCGATGTTAGGCCAGGTTTGCACTCGTCGTCTTTGACATGCGACTTACCTCTTCTGTGACATTTGCGATTTGCCACCAAACTTGCGCTTCAGAGCAGCGCCGTTGAAGGCTCGCAGGCTCTCTGACGGTGCGGGTCGCCTGTCAAAGGCACCAACAGGCAGTGAAACGGTCTTTTGAAATGGGCCTCGCTGGAGGGGGAGAAGCGAGGGCTCAGCATCGTGGCGCTTTGAGCGCTTTCGTCGGCGACGGGGCGCAACCTTTGGAGCCACGGGAGTCTCGTCGGAGTGAGCAACGCTTTGTTCTTCCAGGTCAGAGATGGGGACGCCAGTGAGCTGCATCCAGCAGTCATCTGAGTGGGCGATCGGCGCGAAGATGGATGCGTTGGTGAGCAAGTGAATAAAGACATTCGCGCCCAACGAGCGAAGCAGATTGGCCCATTGTGAATCAACAGTGATGCTGGTGACGTTGGTGTTGAGTTGAAAATTCGTCAGACCTTCGCCACGGTGACACAAGGGAGCTCGATCATCTGCCATTCTGTAACCAAGTGTGAGGAGATTGCTTGCTAGCCGCGAACCTCTGAGAGTGCTGGACGCGGCGGATCGACGAAGCAGGAGGATCTGAGCCCGCTTCACCACGTCGGCTACCGTTACGCCTGATAGCTCCGCGGGATCGGGAGAAGTCCAAGTGGAAAAGCGCTGCTGATCTGCCCTGAAGGCAGTCTCCTGCACAGCCGTCAAGCAGATAATTTTCGAAGCCAAGTCGTGGTCCTTCGCGCGCCATTGGGAGGTGGATGGGTCTCGTAGAAGTTGAGCGACAACGCTTTGGGCTTTGCTGGGAAGCAAGCCAGTCAAATAGTCCTCGATGCTGTTTTGGCGTACAAAAAAGCGGCCGAGAAGGCGATGCGCTTGGCTCGCCCGAGCTGAGTCACTCTGATGCGGGCTTCCATCATGGGTCGACCCTCGGTCAGCACTTTTGTGCTTCGGAGGGCGTAGCACAATTGTGCTTTCAGCATCCCTTGATCGCTGATTTGAGGCGACGACGAGGCGATCACCGTGTCCAGCACGTTTTCGCTTGACCATTCTGCTTGTCTCTTTCTACGCTAGGGTGGCTCGGACTCGCCTGGAGCTGCGGAGTGGAGCTCCGTGCGGCAGCGGAGCGATTTGGACCATTGAACGTACCCACCTTTGGCCGCGCGGATTGGCAGCAGGCTGACCCCTCTGTCTGAGATCAGTGGTGAAGTTGCAGGGAGCATATATGAAGGTGCCAATCGTGAATGGCTGCAGAGATCGGTGATTGTGAGTAGGCTGTGAAAGCTTTGAGGTTTTGGTTGCGAGTCTTGCGTGATATTCACGATTCACGATTTGTCGTTCGCCAGCAGCAGCACGAGGGGACCACACACTGCGCGTCGCGTGTCCGCAGGGACGCGCGCGTTGCGTGTTAATTGCCGCGCTGCAGCGGCGCGGCGGTGGGATCGTGCATGGTCGCGAGCAGCAACCCGGCCAAATGCAGAGTGCGACTCTGTGACTGCTGATGGGACTCATCTATACCGGTACACCCATCTCCAATACACATCTATACCGCAAGCATTGAACAGATTTCCGCTCGGAGCTTCACCGTACGTGCTACTCGAGCGATCTCACGAAGCACCGTCGGCTTGAATCTATACTCGTCCCACTTCAAACGCGGAGCCAGACCTATTCTTGCTTCAGGAAACCCGATCTCTGCCATCAGTCTTAGTCATGGAGGTGGAAGGCAATCTTCAACACGAGGCTGGTTCTAGCGCGAGCACCTCTGCACCAGCAAATGCTCATCAGCGCAGCGTATCCAAATCAGGAGGTGATGGCAAAGCGTCATCGGCGAAAAGTGCTGGAAAGGACGCTTCCAAGGCGGGACCTAAGGGCAAGGGGCAAGTCGGCAAGGCTGCCAGCGCAAACGCTAATGAAGCCAAGTCCAAAGGCAAAGGAAAGGACAAGGCGGGAGGCTCGAGTGCTGGGGGAGGGAAATCTGCTGGCTCATCCACGAGTGCGGCCAAGGATTCGCAGGCTGCAGCGTCTACACCTCTGGGCGGCACGCCTCTGTTCGCTCTGACCAGAGTTGCACGGATCATGCGAGTGAGTACCGTTGCTGGTGTTTCTTGTCCCAAGAATGGTAGTGGAAAGAGGACCAAGCTCGCCCAGTGCTGATTCTGGTCATGTCATGCACTCGCTACAGGCGGACGAAGACGTGGAACAACTACCAAAAGATAGCGTGCGAGCCATGGCGGTAGCTACCGAGAAATTTGTGCAAGTGCTAGCAGAAGAAGCGTATTTGGGAGCCAAGGCCGAAAAGAGAAAAGTGGTGACGTACAAGGATTTGTCGAATCTGGTTCATAGATCGAGCTTTAACTTTTTGGACGAGGTGATTCCCCAACCCACATCGCTCAATGCGGCACTGGTCAAGAGGGCAAAGCATTTGGAGGATGTGCAAGCTGGCAAGCTGTCGGCAGGAGGAGCGGCAAATGCAAAGGTTGGGTCGACTGGTGTGGACCCTGCAGCCGATTTGTCGAGCGGCTCAGCATTCGCTGATCAGTCTGCATTGTCCTCGAGGAATGGAGGAGTTGGTCGCTTGCAAGTCAATGGGTTTGGCAACTCGGCTTCGAATGGACATGCGCAGTCCGAGGAGGAAGCGCCCCTCACGAGCTCCGACGATAAAATGCAGGAGTAATCGCTCAAATGCCCCGACTTCGGGGCGCAGACCCCGTGCCCGCTTTCGGTGGCGGCTGCGCCTCGCAATCATACACGCTCTCTACATTGTCTGGCAATCTATGCAATACGAACGTCATGATTTCATCAAAGCTCGTTGTCGGCCTCAAGGGCGCTTGAAAAGGTATAGCATGATAAACAAAGGCAAAGGGTCCAGGCAGCCTCAGCGAAAATATGTCGAGTGTGAGAAGATTTGTCCAGTGAAGTAAGCCCGCTAGCACAGGCTAGCGCACGCGCGCAAGGAGATAGCAAATATGCGAATGATGCAATAGACGTATCATAGTAAATGTAAATAAGGCAGGATGAGTCTGCGCTACCTCAGAAGACGTCATTGATGGTGCACTCTGCGAGAGCCAAAGAAAGAAAAAAGGGGAAAGGGGGGAAGGGGGGGCTTAGCTGAGAGATGACGCGCCGTATCGGCCAAGCAAGACTCACGCTCAAGGGTGTGTCTGCAAGGAGCGTTGCACAAGCGCGATGGGAGAAGAAAATTAGTTCAGATCCACGATACTCTCCGGTCAGGTGATCAAACGCACCCATACTCTTCGCAATCTAGTAGGAAGAGCAGGAGAGATAGGAATTTGTGAGCAGTCGATTGACGTCCTGTGCGCACAGGACCAGCGTCTACTCACCATCGCAGAATGGTCTGTCGTCATCGTCGTCAACGTTGGTCGATGTCGCCTGCGTTGTTGGAACGGACGCTGCAGGCGCAGGCGTCTCAGGCTGCTGTGTTCTGACAACTCTCGCCGTTTCGATCGTCCCGTTCGTCGATCGTTCCTGCTGCGCGTCTGCCTTCGTCGAGCTGAAAACATCATCTTCATTCGATCTTCTCGAAGACTTCGGTGGGTTGACCTTCTTGGTCTCCAGCATTGGTTCGTTTACGGTCTTGTCTGCCACAAGCGATGCGGTACTCGAGCTTCGCTCGATCTGTCTTTGCAGCTTGGCAACCTTGCGCTCCAGCTCCTCGCAGATGAGTTGCTGCTCATCTCGTCGGTAAACCGAGGCTTCGCAGAGAGCTTCCAGATCTGGCAGGGCACAGAAGGCGAAGGAACGTCAGTTGGAGCAACGTGCTGCCAAAACCTTCAGGGTGAGCCCGCGTCACGCACCTGTAATTTCTTGTTGCAAAGAGACTCGGCTTCGCTCGTGCGCATCATTGGCTTCTTTGAGTTGGCGTTCCATCGTCTCGATGGACTTGAGCGAGCGATCAAGGGCCGCCTTGGTCTCGTTGAGCTCTGTCGTAAGCTTGACCACGTCCCCTTTGCCTTGAGCGCCCAACTCTCTGGTTAGATCTGCAAGTTGATGGTCCAGCGTCGACCTCTGCTCTCGGGCAGCCAACAGCTCATGGCGGGTCTCTTCGAGAGAAGCTTGTAGATCTTGTTTGCTCACCTTTAGGCCGCTGACCTCCTCGCTCAGGGTGCCGACAAGAATGCGCAAACCCGTGAGTTCGTCCTTCGCAGACTGAGCAGAAGGCCCAAGAGAGCCTCGAGAGCGTCGACTAGTGGAGCTTGCGTTCGAAATACGCCGAGAGTGCTGCAACGAGGGAGAGATTCCAGCTGCTTCGGTACCGTTCGCAAAGGCGCTGGAATCAACTGACGGAGATGTTCCAGGCTTCGGGCTGGCGTTGCTGATCTCTCGAGACATGCGCGTGGAAGCCGCAGCGGACGTCGCAGGAGACTTGAAAGCACGAGCGGGCAAGTGTCCCTGCAGCTCCGCAATGTTCGCTTGCAGCTCCTCCATCTCGATGCGCAACCTTCCGGCTTCCTTACTGGCCTCTCGCTTGCCGGAACGCGCCGCTTCCAGAAGAGTGTTGAGCCTCTCAATCTCGCCCTCCAGTCGGGCTTTGTCTGCGCTTGCACGCTCTTCCACCTCGCTCGGTCCTCCACCTAGACCTTGAGCCTCAGCTCGCATGGTTTCCAGCTTATCAGGCAAAAAGTTTTCGTCTCCGTAAGCGCAAAGAAAGCCAAATGGCACATCGGCCGTCGACTCACCTCGGCGCGCTCGCTCTCGAGCGCCGCACGACTAGCTTGAAGCGCATGGTCGAGCTCTTCGGCCTTGCTCTCAGCCTCCATCTTGTCCTGCTTCATTCGTGCCACATCCGCCTTTGCTTTCCTACCTTCATCGCGCAGCTTCTGTTCCGCCTCCGCAGTGCGCTCTTTCCTCTTCCGAGCATTCTCCCTCTCCTCTTCCAGCTTGTGTCGAAGCTCTTCCAATTGGTCCTCGAGCGCGCTCGCCTTGGCCTTTTCGTGCGCAAGCTGCTCCGTCGCGGTTTGCAGATCGATGGCAGCCGCGCTGTCCGGAGCTGCAGTCACGCGTCCCGCCACTTGAGCAAGCGCCGCCTCCCTTTGAGCTTCCACTTCTTGAAGAGCAGTCTGAGCCCTGTCCGCAAACTCTCGCAGACGAGCCTCAGCCTCCTGCACGCGCTGTTCGGCCTCTTCTTCTCTCTTCTTCGCATCTTCCTCATAAATAGCGCTCATCTCGCTTCCGCTCTTGAGCAGGTCTTGAATCTCGGCTTTCGCCTTCTCTCGCTCAGCCTCGAGTGTCTGCTCCACGCGCTGCGCACGCTCCTTGAGATGCGTGATCTCCGCCTCCTTCGCTTTCAGCGCCTCTCCGTCCCTTTCAGAGCTGCCGATGGATGCTTGAAGATCATTGACCAGCGCCTCACTTTCCCTGAGGCGAATCTCGACATCAGCCACTCTTCTCTCCCCTTCCGCTTGCACCCGTTGCATTTCGTCCGCGTGTGCCTGTGCTGCTCGCTGTTTGGTGGCGGCTTCGCGCTCCTCGGCTTCTCGTCGTCTGCGAGCTTCGTCTGCTTTCTCGACTGTGCGCTCCTCCTCGACTTCTCTGCGCGTCTCTTCAGCCGTCGATGCTCGGACACGCTCCTTCTCTCGCGCATGGTCCAACGCAGCAGCAGACGCCGACGTCTCAAGCTTTTCGATGTTCTCCTTGAGCCTTTGTAGCTCTATCTTTAGCTCTTCATGCTCGAAGCTAGACACACCCGCTTTGATGGGACTGCGACTTCGACTACGCTCGCGCTTAGGACTGCGTGTGTCTGCTTCATCAATGCTGACTGGGTAAGCAATTGAAGGATCGTGGCGGGTCGATGTGGAGAGCCGCTTGGAATCAATAGTGGGTGGTCGTCGAGGAGTAAGGTCCATTTCCTCCAGAAGCAAATGGACGCTGGAGCGTTCGGCGGTGTGGCCGCGTCGACCAGCAACCTGCTCGTTGCTTTCCGATCCCGCAGCAGTCTGCCCGTTGAGTCTAGCCATGACGGACTTGAGCGGGGTGCGCGGCTCATCTTCACCATCTGCGTTGGCCATGTGCGCAGAAAGAGAGCTGGTCGGGCGACTACCAACGCTCTTCCGAGGCGAAGAAGCGCCGTTTGCGCGAGTTGGACTGCCGGGCGGACCCATGTCTCCTGCGGTGAGAGCGGGACCGCTAGAACGTGCTTTCATAGGCCGTGGAGTGACGTGGGGTGAGCCAGGTGCTTCAGCTCCAGACGTGCGCCATCGAGCTCCGGCCACCCCGCCCTTCGCTGCCTCCCCGGCAGCACCTCCGAGGCTCGAACGAGCCCGTCCCATCAACGAGTCTTTCAGGGGACTACTCGAGCGCGGTTCGCCGGCATCTTCCATTCCCGCTTCCCTTTTCGCAGCCAAGTCAGCAGCTGAGGCCTTCATAAACTTTGACGCCCTGCTACCCTCTCGAATGCGCGCTTCTGCTTCCGCTGCGGCCTTTGCGCTCATCTTTGCTCGTTTGCGACCATCTTCATCCAGCAACAGGTCCGCATGGCTTTTGCGAGGTGCAAGCCTCGAGTCCGGTCTTGAGCTGGTTGCGCTTGTTTGTGACATTGAAGACGGAGGTCTGGAGTGAGGCGTAGCAGACGCATTGCGCGAAGCCGAGAGAGACAGGCGGGAGGTCGGTCGACGAAGCGAGTTGGCCATACTGGAGGGAGGTCTGCTCGCACGCGGACCTTCCGGTGTATCTGCTCTCCTCATGCTCATCGACGTTGAAGATCTTCCGCTGTAAGCTTCGCCAGCCACCGATGATCTCCCACTTCTATGGGACATTGCACTTTGAGGTCTGGCGGTGGCTTCGTTGTTGACAGAATCACGAAGCACTTGAAGTTGGTGCGGTCTGCAGAAAACGCCGCAGAGCGGTCCACACGCGAAATATTGCTCCCTTTTGAAGCGCGCGTAGAAGAGGGCCATGAGGGAAATGAGCCCTCGTTCGCACCACACGGCACGGCCCCTAGAAACATCATTGCAACCCCCCCGTTCCAAATGGCGAAGGCTCCGCCGTCAGACTCACCCATTGACGACGCCATCATTTTTGCCCTTTCCTTCGCTCTCGCCCAGCAGCTCCAAACCGGCAAAGTCTCCGCTTTTGCCGGTAATACGACCGAGATACCGTACGATGCCTTCCAGGGTCTGGCCATCGCTCACAAAGCGTGCAATCTGGCCCAGCTCAACTCCCGCGATGGAGATCGGTTCCGATGCCTTTGTGCTGTTGCTTCTCACACGAGTTCGAGCCGTGGATGCTATCGTGCTGGCCTCATACTGTTTGGGCAGGGGCGGTGGTGGCACCGCAGCTTCTGGGGCAGTGCTGGCACCAAAACCGGGCGTACGCGAGCCGATGGATGCTCCGAAGCTACTTTTGGGAGCCAACGACCTTCGAGGAGCAGGAGTCCGAGGCAAAGCAGTCCCAGCACTGGCCGCAGATTTAAGAGGCATGGGCGAATCGGATTTGCCAGCTGCTGCAGGAGCTATCGAAGCTGATAGCTGAGGATGCCTCAAGCGTGATGGTGTATCTACCCGGTCTTCATCTGAGACACCTCGGTGATGCCACGATGAAGGAGCAGGAAGAGATCGACGACCTGTGCCTGGCGCCGCAGCGGCTGAGGAGGCAGGTCCGGAGGGCACGGGAATGCCACCTCCTGGGGTCGAGCGGGAAGCCAAGGACGGAGATGGCAGCTTTGACTCGTTCGTCGCCGTTGTCGCATCACTTGGGTTGCTGCTCGGGACGCTTTTGCGAGGTGAGCCACCGAATGCCGAAGGCTGCTGAAGGCGAGAAGGGATGCCAGACATGTTGCTGACTCGGCGAGGATACCTTTGTGACAGGTGATGATGTGTGAGCCTTTCTCGACCGTAAGCTTCAAGGCCATGAGGATGTTCGCAATAGGATCGTGGCAGCGTCAAGTGCGAGACCGACGCTAGATAGAAAGATGCCGCCTAGATCTTGGCGCTGGCCGGTCTTGTGAGCGCGAGAAGACGTTGACAGGAGCTCTACGGATCGCACCGTCGTCGTTGCTATGCGGGCGTAGTGTCGTTCGATGGCCCGAAGCACAGCGCTGTGCAGCATACAGCAACATGCAGCAAGGCGGGTATCGGACAGGCAGCCAGCAATGCTGAATGATGGAGGCAGAATCACCCTCAGAGTGACCCGCTAGACCTGCTGGCTTGATTTGCAGGTATCCCGAATGTTCGTATCAACATTTGGGTCTGGAAAGCGTTGCACCACCCCGCTCGCTGCATGTGCATCTTCCAGCTTCTACATTACACGACACGGCTTTGATCACGAATAAACACCACGCACGCTCAGCAACAGCACCTCGATCACCACTTGATTCCCCATGCGACTACGGCGTGCACAGCCGGCGCGCGGGCCGAGCATCTGCTGCAGTCACATTCGTGATTATTATCTATTTACATTTCTGATTCAATCCAATCCTAGTTCAAGATTCAAGATTCAAACTAGCACGCACGCAGCAGAATTAGAAAGGCCCATCATCGTGATCGAGACTGCGCTTGCGCCCCTATGCAGGAGCTGATGCTGCTGCGTGGCGCGAGGTCGATGAGGCGGTGAAAGCAACACTGCATGCACCGCTGCGTTCACGTGAGGTCGGACGCACTGCAGTCACGAGTCTTGAGTCAAGAGTCACGTACGCGACGCGTGCTAGCTGTCTTTCTGCTCACTTTGAGATTCTTGTGTCAAACTTGTCGAGTTCGCGGCGATCGCTTCTCTTCTCCTCCCGTCATGCCTGCTTGGGGCTGATTGAGTACTTTCAATCACGAATCTATACTGCGCGCTTATACGAATCTATACTGCGCGCTTATAATTGATGTCGCTCAAAGTCTCGAATCGCCAGCACTCTTTACGTGTGTGCAGACTTCAGCACGTTGGACCTGTCGGTGTAGGACTTGGACACGCTCGCGTGCGCGCGACACAATCTTGAATGGCAAGACGTGGGGAACACGTGACCTCTTCCCATCCCCACACTCTTCTGACACAAACTTGACTCAGGCTCCAGCGGCAGCGCGCTGCTGGACCAGCACAACCGGGTGATCCGGGCCGATGAGCGCTGCGCAAGAGCTACAGCATGTACCTACAGCTGTTGTGTACATGCATGGACATCAGCAACCACCTTGTTGACCTGGCTGGCTCGCATGTAGACTGTGGATGGGTTGTGAGCTCCGCTTCGTTCCACTCCACATCCTTTCCTTCAGAGCATTTTCCACCCTCGCATTCACCACGACTGGCCTTAACTCCTTCCTCATCGCATACACGCAGCTTCACTGAGAGTATCCTCCTCACCCTCCCCACGACCTAGCACATCGACAGTGGAAATGTCTGGCTCCTCTTCGTCTTCGTCGGGCTCGACAAAGAAGGAGGGCCAAAAGTATGGCGAGATACGCAACACGATCGACTTGGATGTGCTGAATGACTACCTGAAGAG